CTTGCTCGTGCTGAAGCGCTTCGCGGCCGCCGTGCTGGAGGGGGCTGTCGCTGTGTTCCTGCGTCGCTGTGTTCCTGTGGAGCTGTGCCGCTGACCCTGCACGATGGCGGACTTCGTGCTCCGACTGGACGCCGAGGGCCATGCGGTTGACTTCGCCGCCTGGCTCTCCGATCTCCGCCGCCACCTTACAGGTGAGCACCAGGATGGCCACTCCTTGGTTGTCCATGTAGACGGCTTGCTCCCCCGCCCCCCCGCACCTGCTCCCCTCCCTACTGATCCCTCCTCTGATGACCGTGAGACCTTCTCTACTGCTGCGCTTGCCCGTGCGGTCTGGGACTCCCGCAATGCAGTCGCTCAGGTTGCCATTAGCCACGCCCTCCCTGTCTCTGAGCGCTCGCGTTTTGCTACTATTGAGACGGCCAAAGCTTACTTAGACGCTGTTATTGCTCGCTATTCCACACCCGCGTCTGCTTCTGCTGGTCGCCTGCTCTTCCCTATGCTTTTCCCAGACCTTGCAGCTTTCCCTACCGTCGCAGACTTTGCCACTCACCTGCGTACCCTAGAGACCCGCTATTGCACTGCCAGCACTGCTGCCCAGCTCACTGCGCTCCCCCCCCCCTTTCTGCATGACGCTCTATTTTATCGCCATGCGCCTGCCAGACCGCCTCGCTAGTGCTCGCGATCACTTCCTTTGCCAGCACCCGGGTGACCTCACCCTCACTGCCTTTGTCGATATCCTTACAGAGATCGAGACTCGCCAGCGCACTATCGCTCAGTCGAGCGGTGCGCCGGCAGTTTCTATCTTTCACGGTTGTGCCCCCTCCCAGTGTACGTTCACTGACGTTTTGGCTGCGGTCGCCTCGGCGGCCCCTCTCACCGAGACGGCTGGTGCGGTCCACCTGCAGCAGCACTCGCGCCGCGGTGGCCGTGGTCGCCGGGGAGGTAGGGGTGGTGGCGCTAGTGGTGGTGACGGTAGTCCGCCTACGGGAACTACCACTGGTGGGCAGGAGCAGCAGCCCCAACCGCAGCAAGAGCAGCCCCAGCCACAGCCGCCGCCCCAGCAGCAGTCACCGTCCCAGCAGCAGTCGCCGCAGCAGTGGGCCCGTCTCCCGCCTGGTTGGCCCGGCACCTCCGGAGGTAGTGGCCGTGGTGGCGGCCCGCGCAGCTTAGCGTCTACCGGCGGCTCCTTTGCTGTCACCTGCCAGTACCAGCTTCAGATCGGGCCTCTTCGCGGCACTTTGTGCCGCCGCCCGCCCCCGACCGCCCGCTGTTTCTGCCGCCTCGACGATCTCTTTCGTCGTCGCTTTGGCCCGGCCCCGGACCTTTCCGACTGGCACAGCCTGCTCCGCCAGGGCGTGCCGATCTTTGAGTTAGACATGGATCAGATGGGTGCTGCTTTGCATGCTTTGTATTCTGACGCTTCTAGTTTTGCTGGATCTTATTACCCTGTGTACTCTAGTTTAGGTGTTGCACCACTGTGTAGCTTAGCCTCCCCTGCTGCGTCAGGCGTAGGACTGCCTAGGTTGCCTAGTCTAGTCGCTGCACCGGCTCCGTCCCCGGCCTCCGCCACTGCGTCGCTTTCCTTCACTCTCGACTCCGGTGCTTCTGCCTGCTTCTTCCGCGACTGTTCCACGCTCATGCCGCTTGCTGCACCTGCTGTTGTCTCTCTCGCTGACCCCTCTGCGGGTCCTCTCGTCGCGCGCAGTTCTACGTCCCTTCCTTGTCCAGCAGTTCCCTCGGGCTCCCTTACTGGCCTCCACGTTCCCTCGTTCTCCAGGAACCTGGTTGGTGTCGGCTGTCTCCAAGACCTCGCGTCACCACCACGTTCCCCGGGCACGAGCGGTTCGCTGTCTGTTATGAGGCTCTCTCAGGTTCCCCCCTTGCAACGTTCCCCCGGGACCCGGTGTCCGGTCTGTTTACCCTTGACACCGCTTCCCCCCCGGTTGGTGCGTCCTCCCAGGTCGCTGCAGCTTGCTTGTGTCGGTCCCTCACTCACCCGTCCCTTCTCTGGCACCACCGCTTAGGTCACCCTGCTCTCCCGCGTCTGCGTCACATGTCCCAGCACGGTCTTGTCTTAGGTCTCCCCGCGTCGCTCCCTGCACTTCCTCCCTCGACTGCGCCACCGTGCACGCCTTGCGTCGAGGGTCGGCTCTGCCGTGCTCCTCACTCCTCCTCGCTGCGCCCTGCTACTGCCCCCCTTTAGACCCTGCACCTGGACGTTTGGGGCCCTGCCCCCGTCCCCGGACCGCGCGGTGAGCTCTACTTCCTTGTGCTCGTCGACGACTACACGCGCTAAACCACGGTGTTTCCCCTGGAGCGGAAGGCCGACGTGCCCGACGTTCTTCTCCCGTGGGTTGTGGCTGCGCGTCTCCACCGCGGTCTCCCCGTGTTGTGTCTCCACTCCGACCGTGGCGGCGAGTTCGCCTCTGGTCGGCTTGGACAGTTCTGTCGTGCGGAGGGCATCACCCAGTCGTACACCTTGTCGGACTCGCCAGAGCAGAATGGGGTTGCTGAGCACCGCATCGGCTTGGTCATGGAGGTCGCCCGTACCTCCATGATCCATGCCGATGCCCCCCATTTTCTGTGGCCGTTCGCTGTTCGCTACGCTGCTCACCAGCTTAACCTGTGGCCACGCTCCCAGCGGCCGCAGGTTTCGTCGACCCTCCTTTGGACCGGGTCCCCCGGTGACGCGTCTGCGTTCCACGTCTGGGGCTGCCTCGCTCACGTTCGTGCCTCTGGCACGGACAAGCTCACTGCCCGCACTGTCCCCTGTGTCTTCCTCGGTTTCCCCCTGGACTCGTCTGACTGGCTTTTCTACCACCCGCCGTCTCACCGCTTCCTCCACTCTCGTGACGTCACCTTTGACGAGTCCGTCTCCTTCTACCGCCGCTTCCCTCACCGGGGTCTCCCTGTTGCCCCCCCCCTGTTCCTTGCTCCCTCACCCCCGGTAGCCCCTGCCCCTCTCTCGCCTCGTCCTGCCCCGTTTGGTGTCTCTTACGTCACTCCCCTCCCATCAGTTGTCCCCGTTGAGGAGTCTGCTGACTCTGGTGGTACCCCCGGTCTGTCCTGTGTTCCCGCTGCCGGACTCGTCTCCGGCCCGTCCTCCTCGTTCCCCTCCTGGGTCTCCTCCGCTGTCCCCTGACCCTACCCCTCCGTCTCACGTTTGGGCTCGCCGTCCCTCCCGTGCTCGTCCCGTCTCTCCTGTCCTGCCCACCCACCCTATGTTGCTCCGTTCCCGCTCGTCTCGTCCTCCCCTCCTCCCGTCCCCTCCTCCCTCGTCCCTTGCTGTTACCCCTCCTCCGTTCTCTGACTACCTCCGTGCTGCTCGTCCCCTTGTCCCTCGGGTCCTTGCCTCTCTTGTTACCGACACCGCTGTTCCTGTCTCGCGCCTTGACGCGCTTGTCGCTGCTGTCGCTGACTTCGCCTCTACCAGCCGCCTTGACTACGCTACCGCTCTGGTCTCTGACCCTGCCCGTCCTCCGTCCGTCGGGGGTGCTCCTGCCCTTGGCAGTGACGTCATAGAGGACAGGCAGTACGAGCTTGCTTTCCTTTCCGAAGCTGCTCCCCATCTCTGCTCCATGCTGTTAGTCCCTGAGGGTGACCCAGACGCCTTCGACATCCCGACCCCTCGCACCTATGCTGAGGCCACCTCGGGACCTTGGGCCTCTCAGTGGATAGCTGCCATGGAGCAGGAGATGGCATCTTGGAGGTCCACCGGCACTTACGTCGACGCAGTTCCCCCGCCTGGGGTGAACGTAGTCGATGGTCAGTGGCTCTTCAAGGTCAAGCGCCCCTTTGGAGAGCCGCCTGTCTTCAAGGCGCGCTACGTGGCCAGAGGCTTCAGTCAGCGCGAGGGGGTGGACTTCTTCCAGACCTTCGCCCCGACCCCGAAGATGACCACTCTTCGGGCGCTGCTACACGTAGCAGCACAGCGCGACTACGAGCTTCACTCCCTCGACTTCTCTACTGCCTTTCTTCAGGGCAGCCTACACGAGCAGGTCTACCTGCGCCGACCACAGGGCTTCACTGGTACCTTCCCTCCTGGGACCCAGTGGCCTCAGGCGCCCGGTCTACGGCCTGCGTCAGGCTCCCCGCGAGTGGCACGACTCGCTACGTGCCACGTTAGCAGACCTGCAGTTCTTTCCGTCCTCTGCTGACCCTTCACTGTTTGTGCGTTCCGGCCAGACTCCTTTCTACATCCTTGTCTACGTAGACGACCTGGTCTTCGCTACTCCTGACAGGGACGCTCTGGCCTCTGTGAAGGCTGAGCTGCTGAAGAGACACACCTGCACTGACCTTGGAGAGCTGCGTCGCTATCTTGGCCTGCAGATCTCTAGGGACAGAGCAGCACGCACCATCACTCTGACCCAGTCACACTTGGTGCGTCAGGTCCTTCAGAGGTTCGGTCTTCAGTTCTCCTCCGCACAGCCCACACCTCTAGCCGTAGACCATGGGCTCTCTGCTCCCGTTCTTGAGGAGCCAGTAGAGCCCAGTGGCCCCTACGCAGAGCTGGTGGGTTGCCTCATGTACCTGATGACTTGCACTCGCCCAGATCTCGCATACCCTCTCAGCATCCTGGCTCGCTTTGTGGCCACTGGTAGACACCGACCTCAGCACTGGTCTGCCGCTAAGAGGGTTTTGCGTTATCTTGTTAGTAGATCGGGCATGGGGTTGGTGCTAGGAGGACGCAGGCCAGTGGTCCTTACTGGGCACACAGATGCTTCTTGGGCAGACGACGCTGAGACGCTCAGGTCGTCGCAGGGCTACTGTTTCAGCCTTGGTTACTGCGTACAGCTTGGTCTTGTTCCTGTAGCTGCTCCCCTGTTAGGATCCTGATTGTGTACTCTCTATTATATATGCCTGTTAGACTGGCCTTGTGGCCTTACCTCCAGAGGCTGGACTAGTAGTGCCACCCTAGTTTGCTTGGGAAGAGGCTGGTAGGAACACGCTATTACAAGTCACAAAACACCACTAACCGAAATAGGAAACTTTGACAGAAACCAGTGAAGGCACACAGAAGGAACTAGCTGTCAACTTATACATATTAGCTATGTAGAAGTTATAGACTAGACTGGGGTATGCTTCTAGTGAGTACAACCAACTAGTATTTGTTCTAGGTTTCCACCTCTAGTTATCATTCCTTCTCACGTTAACACTAGCATATCATTGTTTGCTCAACATACACAAGCTTTCCCCTAACTCACACCACTGCATGTTTTGCTCTGATGGCAGACGGCTTGATATTGTTCCCTGCAGGCGACGGCACGGTCTATGTCACTGTCAGCTTTGAGATCTCCATCTCTTCCTTCGCCTCGACTCGTCCCTCTCCTAGACGCTGGTCTCTCCCTCAATCTCAGCTCTCCCCTCGCCTACTGCATCTGCTTCGCCTTGACGGCAGACGGCTTGACGTTGTTCCCACGGGGATGGCATGGCACAACCCATTTCACTCTTCCCTCTCCTGCCATTCCGCCTCCTCCCTTTGCTTGCCTACTGCATCTGCTTCGCCTTGACGGCAGACGGCTTCATATTGTTCCCAGCAGGCGACGGCACGGCCCACTTCACTCTCAGCTTCAAAACCCTTCTGCCCTCGCCTCGTCCCTCTCCTAGAACCTGGTCTCTCCCTCAATCTCAGCTCTCCCATAGCTCACTGCATCTGCTTCGCCTGGATGGCCGACGGCTTGACGTTGTTCCCAGGGGGATGGCACAACCCATTTCACTCTTCCCTCTCCTGGCGTTCCGCCCTCTCCCCTCTCTCACTGCATCTGTTTGGCTTTGATAGCAGACGGCTTGATGTTGTTCCCAGCAGGCGACGGCACGGCCCATTTCACCCTCAGCTTTGAGATCTCTGCCTTTGCCTCGTCCCTCTCCCGTACCACCGCCTCCATCTGCTCCTTGGCCTCGGCTAGCGATGCCTGCATGCGCTGCTTTGACCTCTCCAGAACTTGAATCCTGGAACGGGGAGGGAGGGAGGGATAGGGGGGAGGTTGAGATCTCTGCCTTCGCCTCGTCCCTCTCCCTTACGACCGCTTCCATCTGCTCCTTTGCCTCTGCCAGTGACGCCTGCATGCGCTGCTTCGACCGCTCCAGGGCTTGAATCCTGGTACAGGGAGGGAGGGAGGGATCAGGGAAGGTGCTGCCTTGGCCTCGTCCCTCTCCCATACTACCGCCTCCATCTGCTCCTTCGCCTCGCCTAGCGATGCCTGCATGCGCTGCTTCGACCGCTCCAGGACTTGAATCCTGGTAGGAGGAGGGAGGGAGGGATTGGGGGGAGGTCGAGATTCCTGCCTTCACGTGGTCCCTCTCCCTTACAGCTGCCTCTATTTGCTCCTTCACCTCTGCCAGTAACGCATGCATGCGCTGCTTTGACCGCTCCAGGACTTGAATTCTGGTACGAAGGGTAGGATTGGGGGGAGGTGGAAGGGGAGAGAGGGTCAGACTCACATGTATCTGCTGCTTTGCCTCGGCTAGCGATGCCTGCATGCGCTGCTTTGACCGTTCCAGGGCTTGAATCCTGGGTCAGAGCAGGTGGGGGAGAAGAGGGAGGGGGATGAGGGGTCCTTTGAGCCCATGCACCTCCATCTGCTCCTTTGCCTCTGCTAGTGATGCCTGCATGTGCTACTTGGCTCGCCCTAGGACTTCTTTCGTGCTAGGGGGAAAGGATTTGAGCCTTCAGGGAGGCGGAGAGGGAATGGAGTGAGAGGAGAGTGAGTGAAAAGACACTGGTCGGCTGCTAAGAGGGGGTTGCGATATCTTGCAACTACATCAGGCATGGGGCTAGTGCTGGGAGACATGATCAAAACGCGATTGCGATTTAAATCGCATCGCATGCAGGTGCGATGCGCGATTTATTTTTCAAAAAAAAAAAAGCAAATCGCATTTTACCCGCGATGTATTAAAAAATCGCATGCGATATTTAATTAAATCGCGCACTGCGATTTTAAATCGCATCGCTTTTTAAAACAGAATAAAAAAACACCCCAAAAAAACAGAAAAAAAAAAATGGCTGCGGGGAAATTGACTCACGGGCAGTCGTAAGCTAGAGTGCAAATAACCAGTGTGGTTTCGTAGTGGGTTTCAGAGTGGGTTTCAGTGCAATATCGCGCACGATTTTTAAAAAATCGCATATCGCATTTAAATCGCGTTTTTTAGCGCGATTAAAATGCGATTAAAATTAAATCGCGCGATATTAATTCATCGCATCGCGCAATGATTAAAAAAAAAAAAAAAAACATCGCCATCGCAAAAACGCGATTAAATGCGATGCGATGCGATTTTTTTTGCCCATGTCTAACTGGGAGGACGCAAGCCAGTGGTTCTTACTGGGGATCAGCTCGAGGCACACACAGATGGAAAGCGGAGTACCGTACAATATTTTTACCTCATGGAAAGTACATCTACACTCACAGATTGATGTTTATGTATACACGTATCATGCATGTATGTACACACACGCATATGGAACTCAAGGCCTATACTCACTTGTTCCTAGCCTCAAACAGGGTGGTCGACTCTGCTTGGAGCTTCGCCTTCAGAGAAAAGATCTGTATGCCACATGGGGTGGGGGGGGGGGGGGTGAGGGGAGGGGGGAGGGGAGGGGGAGTGGTTGGGAGTGAGGGTGGGGGTTATGCAGTTAGTGGAGCACGAGTGCTGCAATTAGGCTGGCAGCGGCGGCAGCAGCAGCTGCAGTGGCGGTCCTAGTTGTTGTCGCCCTTTTCCAAGCTGCTCCTTGCTGCTCCTCCAACTTCTTCACCTCCTCGCTGCGTCAGGCACCCAACAGCCCCAACAGCAATCAAACCAAAACCACCAGATCCCGGTCCAATTGCCTCCTGTCTTGCTGCACTCTGCTGCTCCTCGAGCTTCGTCATCTCCTCCTCCCTCCCTCTCTCCAGCACCCAGCCCCAGCCCCAACACCCTAAACACAGAAACTTCATGATCCGGTCCACAGAAACCCATGGCACACCTGTTGATCCCGGTCCACAAGCCTCTCGTAGGCCTCCTGCCTCGCGGCCCCTTGCTGCTCCTCGAGCTTCTTCATCTCCTCCTCCCTCACCGCGCACACCATGTCCAGCATGCGAATGCGGTCCGTGTGGTGCTGCAAACAGGTAGGGGGAAAGGAAAAGGGGGGAGGGAGGGGAGGGAGAGGGGGAGGCGGGGGCCCGGGGCACAGGTGAGTTCTCTCCTCCTTCCGCACAGCGCACACCGTGTCCAGCATGCGGATGTGGTCCGTGTGGACTGGTAAGGGGGAGGGGGGAAGTGAGGGACGGAGAGAGGCAGGGGGCTGCCTAGGGTATAGATGGGTTGTCTCCTCCTCTCTTACACCACACACCATGTCCGGCATCATGATTTGAGGCGCCTCAAAGCATCATGATTTGAGGCGCCTCAAAACATCATGATGCGGTTCGTGCGGTGCTCCAGCAGATTCAGAGGGGCGAGGCGGAGACATAGGGAGAAAATGGGGTGGAATACAACCATTTGCTTCTCCTACTGCGTACAGCACCGCACAGCACCGCACAGCACCGCACAGCACAGCACAGCACAGCACAGCACAGCACAGCACTGCACCGCACAGCACAGCACAGCACCGCACAGCACAACACAGCACAACACAGCACAGGCGCCACATCCAGCATGCGGATGGTGTGAAGGTTGTACTGGTGAAGGGAACGAGGGCAGGGGAAGAGAGGGGGGGAAGAGAGGAGGGTACGAGATGACTTTTGAGTTTTCGCCGCACGATGACTCAAAACGCACCTTCACTGTAGCCTTGGCCTCTTCCAGCTGCGATGACAGCTCAGCAACCTGCCGTGCTCAACTACAGTCACCTTAGACTGCATTCACGCACTCTACTCACTGCTCTCCACGCACCTTCACTGTAGCCTTGGCCTCTTCCAGTTGGGACGACAGCTCAGCAATCTGCCCCGCGCGCACCGACAGCTCCTGATTCGCCAGCGCCAGCTCACCACGCCTCTCCGCCAGGTCAGCCTCGACATCCGCCACCCTGGCAGCCGCGCGCGCCGCCACGTCATCCCGCTCCGACTCCACCTCAGCAACCCTCCTCTCTGTCTCTGCGGCCCTCTCCCTCAACCCATCATTCGCCCCTTCTAGCACCCCCTTCAAACCTTCCAGTACCTCTTTCTCCCCTTCCAGTGCCCTCTTCGCCCCTTCTAGTGCCCCCTTCTCCTCTTCTAGTGCCTCCTTCGCCGCTTGAAGACTCACAACCAAGTCTTGGAGTCCCACCACTATCTCTTGCTTCTCTCTCAGAGCCTCGTCCCTCTCACTTAGGCCCTTCTCTGCTTCTCCCAACTGCCCCTGCATCTCACCCAATCGGCCTTCCAGCTTCCCAATCCGCCCCTCCTGCTCCTCCATACACCTTCCTGCTTGCTCAATCTCCCCCTTTGCCCTCTCCAGCTCCCCCTTAGTTCCCTCGACCTCCCGTTCGCTCCTCTCCAGACCCTTCCTCGCACCTTCCAGGTCCCCTCTCGTCGTCTCCAGGTCTTTTCTACGGCACTCTAGCTCACCCCTCACCCCGTCTAGCTCTCCTCTCACCTTCTCCAATTCCTCACTCGTGGTTCTCACTTGCCCTCGCAATCCCTCTGCTTCTCTTCGTGACTCCTCCAGGTCCCTTCCTCTCTCCTTCAACTCCTGCTTCCTCTCTTCTATCTCTTTCTCCCTCTCCACGAGCACTCTCTTTCTCTCCTCTACTTCCTTCCTCGCCTCATCTCTCTCGCTCTCTGCACGCACCCTCCCCTCCTCCTCTCTCCTCCTCTCCCCCTCCACTCTCCCACACTCCTCCCTCGCTTGCTCCAGCTGCTGCTGCAGCAGCGCCTTTTCTCCCTCCTGCCCCTCCAACATCCCTTCTAACTTAACCACTTCGGACTTTAACTTACTCAACTGATCTTCCAACTCCCCCAGGTCAGATCTAGCCCGGCTCAACTGCTCCTTTAGCTCTTCTCTTTTACCTTCCAACTCCCCTATCCCGGAATTGGCCTCTTCTAACTGTACTTCCAGCTCCCTCCCTCTCTCCTCCCCTCTCCTCGCTCTCTCTTCAGCCTTCTCCAGCGCGCCTTTCACCCCTTCCAACTCCATTGAAACCGACTCCAACTCCCCTTGGACCCTCTCCACCTCCTCCTCCCCCGCCTTCACCACCCCCCCGAGCCTCTCCTTCTCTCTCTCTGCTTCCGCTAGCGTTTGCTGCAGTTGCTCCACCTCCTCCTCTGCCGCCCCTAGCTGGCCTTGCACCCTTTCCACCTCCTCCTGTTTTCTCCGGGCTAGCCCTGCAGCCTCAGCTTCTGTCGAGATTATCACCTGCTGCAGCTTCCCTACTTCCTCCTGTGCTGCACCTAGCTCACCTTGGAGCCTCCCTACCTCCTCCTCACGTGTTCTGACCTCCGCCTGACTCGCCCTCACCATTCCCATGAGCCTCTCCTTCTCCCTCTCCGCTGCCCCAAGTGCCTGCTGCAGCTTGCCTGCCTCCTGCTGTGCCGCCCCTAGCTGGCCTTGCACCCTCCCCACCTCCTGCTGCCTTGCAGCCAGTTCGCCTCTCAGCTCCTCCTGCTCTCGCTCCAAGGCCTCTGTCCTCTCTATAAGCTCCCCAGCTTCCCTCGTTACAGTCTCCTTCTCTTGCAAAACACCCCTGAGTTCACCCCTCAGCTGTTCAACCTCACCCCGTGACCGTTCACCTTCCTCTAGAGCGGCTCCAAGGTCCCCTTGCGCACGGCCTAGCTTCCCCTGTAGTTGCTCCGCCTCCTCTCTTAACCGCTCAAACTCCTTCTGCACCGCTCCAACCTCCATCTGCAGTCCCTTTTTCTCTTCCTCTGTCGCTCCTATCACCGCTCTCAACCGCTCCGCCTCCTCTTGTACCGCTGCACGTTCCCCCTGCACGCAACCTAGCTTCCCCTGTAGTTGACCCACCTCGCCCCTCAACTGCTCCACCTCTTCCCGTGCCGCTGCACGCTCGCCCTGTACAGCAGCCAGGTCCTCTGTGGTGGCCGCCAGGTGCCTCGCAATGCTGCTCAGGTGCTCGTCCTTGCCGCTCAGGTTCCTCTCTGTTGTTGCCAGGTGGTTTGCCAGGTTCGCCAGGTGCTCCTTCAGGGCGGCAGATTCCAACCTGGCGTCAGCTAGAGCCTGCTCGGATGCGTTTAGAGAGTCCCTTGTCCCCTCTAAAGCGTCTTGTGACTCGTTATAAGCCACCTGGGCTTCAGTTAAAGCTGCTTGCAAAGCAGCAATCTCCCCCTCTGCTCTGCCCACTTTACCTTGCAAATCCTCCACCTCCTCCTCTTGCTCCCTTACTTCCCTCTCCCGCCTCCCCGCCTCTGCCTTTAATTCAGCAGCCTCCCTCTCTCCCTTCTCGACCCGCTCCTTCAAACCCGCCACTACTTCCTCTCTCGCTGCCGCCGCTGCTGTCAAGTCAGCAACCGCCCTCTCCCTCCCTCCTAGTCTGCTCTCCAACCCACATATCTCCTCTTGCTTTCCTCTCACCTCAGCCTCAAGCCCTTCAATCGCCTTTTCCCGCTCCTTCACCTTACCTCCCAAAACAACTATATCTTTCTCCCTCCCCTCTATCCTCTCCCTCATATCCCCCATCTCTTTATCCTTCTCCCCCAACTGCCTCTCTAGCTCAGCGACCCTCCCCTCTCTCTCCCTCCCTTCCCTCTCCATCCTCCCCACCTCCCTCTCCTTCTCCCTCATGCTTTTCTTCAGCTTCCCTATCTCCTGCTGCAGCTGGGAAACCGCCTGAGCCTTCTGCAGAAACTCCTGGGCCTTTGTTGAAATCTCCTGAGCCCTCTGCTGCAGGTTGTTCTCCAGGTCCTTCACTCTCCGCTCCTTCTCGCCCAACCTCCCCTCCATTTCACTCTTTTGTGACTGTAACAAAAGTACTTTCTGCCCCATGTCACTCTTTTGTGATTGTAACAGAAGCATCTGCCGTTCCATCTCTCCCTTTTGTGACTCTAACGAACGCAGCTGCCTCTCCAGTCCAGCAGCCCTCTCTTCAGTCACCCTCTTTGCCTCCCCCATTTCTTCCCTCTCCCTTTCAATACAAGCACACTTCCTCTCCATCTCGTCCTTCTCTGCAGTCACAAAAGCCAGCCTCTGCTCTACCGCCCACTTCCCCTCAGTCACTCTGTCCCTCTCCCTCTCCTCCTCCCCCCTCTCTCTCACAGCCTCCGCTAACCTCCTCTCCACTTCCCCCTTGGCCTTTACCGTCTCCTCCACTCTCCTCCCCATCTCATCCCGCTCTCTCTTAACCTCCGCTAACTTCCTCTCCACTTCCCCCTTCGCTTTCACCATCTCCACTACCTTCCTCCCCATCTCATCCCTCTCTTTCTTTACTTCCTCAAGCCGCCTCTCTACTTCCCCCTTCGCCTCAACCACCTCCTCTACCCTCCTCCCCATCTCGTTTCTTTCCTTCTTAACCTCCTCTACCCTTCTCCCCATCTCCCCGAGCCTCCTCTCTGCATCCTCCATCCCTTCTCTCGCCTTCGTTGCTTGCCCTAGCGCCTCCTCCCTCTCCTCTATAACCCTGTCTCTCTCCTTCACCACTCTATCCCTCTCAGCCACTGCTTTCTTTCTCTCCGATTCACCTCGCCTCGTCGACCTCTCTGCCTTCTTTTTGGCCTCTTCTGCCGCTGCTCTCTCCTCCTCTGCCTTCGTCCTTGCCTCTTCCGCCGCCCCTCGCTCCTCCTCTGCCCTCTTTTTTGCATCATCTAACGCTTTTCCATCCTCCGCTGCCCGCCTCAAACTTTCTTCTGCCCTTCTGAGAGCTTCTTCTGCCCGGGATCTTCCCTCCTCAGCCTCTCTCCACCTCTCCTCCGTCCTCCTTTCCTCCAGTTCCCTCCCCCGCGCCCTCTCCTTCTCCCTTTCCCTCTCCCCTTCCTTCTCTTGCTCCTCTCGTGCTGCCAACTCACGCTGCAACGCCTTCAAGCGTTGATCCGAATCAGCTTTTAACGAGTCCAGCTGGTGAGCGCGAGGGAGAAAAGGGGGGGGTGAAGTGATGCAGGCGGGATTGGAAAGGAAGAGGTGGGGGGGCAGGAGACCGTGAGAAAAACGAAGGGGGGTGAGAGGGGCGGGTGTAATGAGTCGATTTTTGAGTCGATTTTTGAGTTGACTTTTGAGTCGATTTTTGAGTCGATTTTTGAGTCGACTTTTGAGTTGACTTTTGAGTCGACTTTTGAGTCGATTTTTGAGTCGATTTTTGAGTCGACTTTTGAGTCGACTTTTGAGTCGACTTTTTAGTCGACTCATAACACAAACAAAGAAGGGGGGTAAGAGGGGCGGAAGAGACTTCAGGGGGGATTGGAAAGGTTGAGGTGGGGGGGCAGGAGACCATGAGCAGACAGGTGAGAAAACAGTGTGTGTATATATGTCCATTCTCTCGTTTACTGTACCTCCAAACTCTCCCCACTCACACCCATCTCCACACACATACACCATCCACACACATGCACCATCCACACACATGCAACATCCACACACATGTAACATCCACACACATGCAACATCCACACACATGCAACATCCACACACATGCAACATCCACACACATGCACCATCCACACACATGCACTCACCTCTGATTCAAGCTCCTGCACTCGCCGCACTGCTGCCGCTTCAATCTCAGCTCTCAACACCCGCTCCTCCTCCACCCTCTCCTCCACTCTCCTTTCCATCTCGCCCATGGCCTCCGCTGCCTCCTCTGCCCGCTGCTGCTCCTGCTGCAGCTGCACCTGCAGAGAAGGGGAGAGGAAGGGGAGGGGGGGGGGGGGGGGGGGGGAGTGGGGAATCAAACACAGCATGCAGCATCCCCCATCATCTTCCACCCTCTCCTCTCCTTTCTTTCTCCTCCCCATCTCGCCCATTGCCTCCGCTGCCTCCTCTGCCCGCTGCTGCTCCTGCTGCAGCTGCGACTGCAAGGAAGGGGAGAGGGAAGAGCTGGGGGGGGGCAGAGGGAGTGGGGAATCAAACACAGCATGCAGCATCCCCCATCATCTTCCACCCTCTCCTCTCCTTTCTTTCTCCTCCCCATCTCGCCCATTGCCTCCGCTGCCTCCTCTGCCCGCTGCTGCTCCTGCTGCAGCTGCGACTGCAAGGAAGGGGAGAGGGAAGAGCTGGGGGGGGGCAGAGGGAGTGGGGAATCAAACACAGCATGCAGCATCCCCCATCATCTTCCACCCTCTCCTCTCCTTTCTTTCTCCTCCCCAACTCGCCCATTGCCTCCGCTGCCTCCTCTGCCCGCTGCTGCTCCTGCTGCAGCTGCGACTGCAAGGAAGGGGAGAGGAAGAGACGGGGGGGAGGGGGGGAGGGGGGGAGGGAGGGGGGAATCAGAGGCAGCATGCAGCATCCCACATCACATCATGGTCCATCCTCTCCTCTCCTCCATTCTCCTTTCCATCTCCCCCATTGCTTCTGCTGCCTCCTCCGCCCTCTGCTGCTCCTGCTGCAGCTGCGCCTGTGGGGTGGATTGGGGGGGAAGCGAAACAGCGGATAGGGGAAGTCTAGTTTTGAGGCGCCTCAAAACTAAACTGCTGCAGCTGCGCCTGTGGGGTGGATTGGGGGGGAAGCGAAACAGCGGATAGGGGAAGGGAGGAGTTAAAAGGAGTGGGAAACCGAAATCTGGGTGTGATACGGAGGGACTGGGAAATGGCGAAATGGTGGATGGGGGAAAGGGGGAGAGGCTCACCGTGGCATGAGTCTAGATCCCGATTCTAGCTATGCCTGAAAAAATAACTCACCGTAGCGTGTTGGAAAGCTAATTCTGCTGCAGCAACCTTCCTCCTCAATTCCTCCCCTTCCCCTCTAACCCTCTCCGCCTCCCCCCTCTCCTTCTCCCTCTCCCCCCGCAATCTCACCACCTCCCCCCTAAGCCTCCCCACTTGCCCTTCCATCTCCCCCGCCCTCGCCCTCTCCCCCTCCAGCTGTCCCTGCGCCCGCTCCAGCTGTTTCCGCCCCTCCGCCAGCTCACTCCGGGCCTCGCTGAGCTGGCGCTGAGTCAGCACCAGTCGCTGCTCCGTCATCTCCAGCCACTGCGTCGCCGCCTTGTGCCGAACCTCCCCGAGCCTGATCCGAGCCTCGGACTCCTTGATCCGAGCCTCCGCGTCCTTATTCCGAGCCTCAGCCTCGGCACACCGAGCCTCGCACTCCTGCATTTCCTCTATTAACTTTGCCATGGCAGAGGCATACCCCCCAGTCACATGCGCGCGCCCTATTCCCCCCAGGGGACTCTTCTTCCTTCCCCCATCCCCTCCTCCCCCGCCTGCGCCTTCCCCCTTTTCCCCTCCCTCTCCCCCTGCCCCGCCCCCTCCGCCTCCCCCGCCTCTCCCCCTCCCCCCTGCTTCCAGCCGCGCCTGGAATAGTTCCCCCTGTGTTTCCGCCAGCTGCTTTCTCATATGCTGCATCCGAGCCTGTGCAGCCTCGTGCCGAACCTCCAGCTCCCGCTGCCGAGCCTCAGCCTTGTCCAAGTCCTCTCGGAGATCCCTGCTCTGTGCTTCGACCTCTCCTATCCGAGCCTCAGCTTCGGCATTCCGAGCCTGGGAGTCCTGCGGGCTTGGCAGCAGAAGGAGGAGAGTGCAAGTAAGTGCGTACTCGTTATAGCAACAGCAGGACGTACAGTGTTCCAAACCATGATACCGAGTCAATGAAATAACAGCTTCAGCTCTTAGCGAGTCCCGCGCTTCTCAGTTCTCTCGCATTTCGCTTCCCCTTTTCTCACCTTGAGCTCTTGAACCAGCTTTGCAACAGCGGAGCTGTTTCCACTTAAAGCAGCATCCATGTTGCCGCCCACACTGCCGCCCATATTGCTTCCGAACCCGCTCTTCAGTACCCCTGACAAGCTCAGCTGCTGCTTCGCCCGCCCGCCTGTAAACGCACTTTCCAAGAAGCTGCTGCCCCTCATCTCTCCCAATTCCGGGAAGTTTCGTCTGCCCTCCCAGGCGGCCCCAAGATCATCTTGACTTGCGCCATAGTCCTGGTGGCCCCCTTTCTCCTCCCCTCCCTCCTCCCCTTCCTCCCCCTCCTCCTCATCGGATACCTCCTCCTCGCCTCCCGTCGCTATAGTCACAAGGTCCAGGGGCATGTTGTCAGTTACCGTATAAGGCTCTTCCTCCTCCTCCCCCTCCAAAGCTATAGCTGTAAGGTCCACACCTGCTGCTGCTGTTGCTGCCGCTGCCGCTACTGCTGCTGCTGCTGCTGTTGATGATGATGCTGCTGTTGCAGGATCCATGGACCTTCTTAATGATGCAACTCCGCTCCCCTCGTCCTCTCCTCCCTCATCCTTCTCTGACCCTCCTCCTTCCTCTCCTCTCTCTCGCCGTAACCCTCCCTCACGTCCCTCTCCTCTTTCGCCTCCCGCTCCGACGATGTAAAAGCGGCAAGGGCTGGCCTTGGTGTTGGGCCGTCCTCCGTCTCCTCCCTCTGCGCTTTCTCCTCCTCCTCCCGTTCCGTCAGCAAGCAAATGATAAGGGCTGGCGTTGGTGTTGGACCCTCCGTCCGTAAACAAGTGGCAAGGGCTAGCGTTAAAGTTGGACCCGCCGTCAGTGAAGAACGACTCGGCTGCTGAGTCCACGTCATCGTCCTCAAAGTCCACGTACTCAGCAGCCGACACCGCGTCCACGCTCCGGCGCGGCGAGTTGGTTAAATGCCGCGTTTTAAGACGCCTCAAAGCATCGTTCTCCAGGTCCGCGTACTCGGCCGCCGATGCCGTGTCCACGCTCCTTCGCGGCGAGTTGCGCGCGCCGCCCTTTTCCGCCGGAAAATGGTTTTTCTCCTCGGTATCGCCGTTGCGGCGATTGGCGATTAATGGCGACTGCGACGTTGCGATCTCCTTATCCGCATCTGAAGGCGACTCGACGAAACCGTTTCCGGCATTTGAAGGGGAGTCGGCGAAACCGCCGCTTCCCGCGTACACGCGTCGCTGCCCGACCATCGACTGCGCGAAGGCGCTTCCCCCTGCAGCAGTGGGCGCTCCGACGCGAAACATTTCTGAAACTTGTAAGCAGCTTACAATGCACTTTTGAGGCGCCTCAAAAGCTTACAATGCACACATGAAGGGATTGAGTGGTAACGCGAGCGAGGTGACTTTTGAGTCGACTCAAAAGTCACTAAGTTGTAAGCAGCTTACAATGCACACATGAAGGGATCGAGAGGAAACGCGAGCGGGGTATGCAGTGCGCTAAGAGCTGGAACCGATAATAGATTACCACCGAATATATAAGAGACCAATGACGTTCAAATGTACGCCGTTAATTCGAAAAGTGGTTTGTGCTAACGGCCATTCGGGAACAAACGTTCCAGCAATAGCATGTTCAATACGAAATGTTTTGGCGGTCTTAGGTGCACGGTTTTACGCGTTAGAAGAATCTTGTGAGAGAACGACAAGCTACTCCAGGTTGCAGAGGCGCAGGCAACGCACTGCGTAATAAGTCACAACGACACTCCCTAGCCTGAGCAGAACACGCACAAAACTGCATCCATGAGGCACGATGGATGGGACGGATGATGAAGAATGGGTGAGTATGGCATGGAGGGATCATCTTGGCTGCGTTCGGTGGGCTAGGCACTGGGGCAGGGCAGGTGGGTAGTGCGCTAGGGGCACGTATCTATGCTACATAGCACACACGAACGGGGCAGGGGAGAGAGGTTGAACTTGAGGGGCTTTTTTTTCAATCACGGGAAAAATCGCCCCTTTTTCGCTGGGAGGGCCGATTTCTTTCGCCAACGCAATTTTTGCTTTTGGGTCCACCCACCTCCACCAGCCAGGGCTTGGTCTTGCGGACCAGGTTCGGTCTCGATTTCTGCCCGTTCGCGGTTATGGGTTCAGCAGCAGCACCCAACCACCATGCTGCAACCAGTGATATGCTCCGAAACGCGTCTCGAGATGGCTCGGTGAGGCTGTGTTTTTGCAGAGGGAAGATCCCTGAGCCAGACGTGTAGCCGAAGAAAGACGGTGACTGGCCCTAGCCTTCGCTTAGTCAAAGCGACATTCGGCCGAAGCAAAACCATGCCTCGCTGGTTTTTGGAGCCCAATCAAAGGCCTTGAGACCTCTCTTTCCACGTCATAATCTCGTTCGGCAAGGCAAAACCCGAGCAAACCTGGTTTGCATCTTGGAGCCTCAGGGTACACCACTTAGTAACACTAGGGCTACTCTTGTTGTAAAGTGAGGCTGTACAATGTGGTATAATGCTTTTTCCAACAGTAAGCCATTCACTCTAACAATGTTCTCTGCCGCAGAACAAGTTCCAGCCTCAAACTGCAGACCGGTGATCCTGTTCGAAGTATATCAGTACTCGGCAAAAAAAAAAAAAAAAAAAAAAAAAAAAAAAAAAAACATCAGTACTCACTCGCCACTAGGTGCCTATTTTAAAAATATGTCAATCGTCTGCCAGGAAATCAACATTACACGTGCCGTCCTCTTGACCGAACTCGTGCTGTGGTCACACTAACAATGCCAACACAGTGGCAACCAGCACACCAAGCACTGGGGCTGGGCAGAAAAACGCTCCCGGGCCTGCAGCGTTGGACGGCGGCGGTGGCGGCTGTGGCGACGAGTTACTTATGCTACCAGCAGTGTTAACAGGGGAAGGGCTACTAGGTGCAGGTGGGGAAGGCACAGCAGGAGATCCCTCAGGTGCAGGTGGGGAAGGCACAGCAGGAGATCCCTCAGGTGCAGGTGGGGAAGGCACAGCAGGAGATCCCTCAGGTGCAGGTGGGGAAGGCACAGCAGGAGATCCCTCAGGCGCAGGTGGGGAAGGCACAGCAGGAGATCCCTCAGGTGCAGGTGGGGAAGGCACAGCAGGAGATCCCTCAGGTGCAGGTGGGGAAGGCACAGCAGGAGATCCCTCAGGTGCAGGAGGGGAGGCTGAGGGAGGGGCGGCGTTGCCTGTCTGGTTGCTGCAGAAGTCGGGGATGGTTCGGTTGAGCACTTTGAGGTACTCGGGGTGGGCAGTGGTGTTGAGCAGGTTGGTGGGGCATGTGGAGGGCAGGACAAAGGGGTCGCAGCAGCCGGCTGTGGCAGGGAGAGGACGGCCAGTCATGTTCCAACAGGCCTGGAGCTTGGGCTGGGATAGGGAAAGGGGTTGGGTTGGGTTGGGTTGGGTGCAGGAGGGAACAGGAGAGAATGCACAGGGGTTTAGAAGGTGCTTTCCTTGCTTCTGTGGAAACCACCGGTGTTCGGGAAGGATAACAGTGTGTGAGGGGCTCGGTGATTAATTCCGACCTGGCAACAGGAGCCAAAATAACTAGGTGAGGGGATAACAGTGTGCGAGGGGCTCGGTGATTAATTCCGACCTGGCAACAGGAGCCAAAATAACTAGGTGAGGGGACAACAGTGTGCGAGGGGCTCGGTGATTAATTCCGACCTGGCAACAGGAGCCAAAATAACTAGGTGAGGGGATAACAGTGTGCGAGGGGCTCGGTGATTAATCCGACCTGGCAACAGGAGCCAAAATAACTAGGTGAGGGGATAACAGTGTGCGAGGGGCTCGGTGATTAATCCGACCTGGCAACAGGAGCCAAAATAGCTAGGTGAGGGGATAACAGTGTGCTAGGGGGAAAAAATGTGCTAGGGGGAAACAGTGTGCTAGGGGAAATTGTTGACTGGCTTACTCGCATCGGTGATTCCTTCCGACCTGGTTCGCTTGAGGGGAAATGATTGACTAGGTAACTTGGTTCGCCCACTCACCTTGTACGAAGTTGACTTGCAGGTCTGCAATCCCAGCGATCTTAGCAAACCCCCTGGACCAGCTGCCGAGTGTAAAGGTGTCTGACAAAGTGCTACACACTTCGCAAAGTGTAGCTTTTTCAAACACCTGTACTACGCACTTGTGTGCCGCACACGCACTACCGAGCTGCACCTATCATTCTCCAACGTCACGTGATGGCTTTTGAGTCGACTCAAAGCCTGACAAAGCCACACTTGTGTGCCGCAATACCGAGCTACACCTATCATTCTTCCACTCACATCCACGAAGTTGACTTGAAGGTCGGCGATTCCAACAGACTTGGCAACCCCCTGGAAGAGCTGCCGGGTGAAAAGGTGTCTGACATAGTGTAACTTTGTCAGACACCTGTGTTACACACTTGCGTGCCACACTACTGAGTTACACCAATGACCCTCCCACTCACGTCCACGAAGTTGACTTGCAATTCGGCAATTCCAACGGACTTGGCAAACCCCTGGAAGAGCTGCCGGGTGAAGGTGTCTGGGCTGTTCACGAACGACCCCAGCGTGCCGGGGAAGCCCGGGACTGCAGGCGGGAGGGATGAGCGGGAGGAGGGGAGAGGGGGGGAGGTAGGAATAGGGGGATTGAGAGTGGTGAGTGAAGGTGCTGGGTGTCAGGGCTGTTGACAGAGGAGCCCCAAGTGCCGGGGGAACCGGTGACTGCAGGGTGGACAGTAGGAGGGAGGGTGGATTGTAGGAGGGAGTGTGGATTGTAGGAGGGAGGGTGGATTGTAGGAGGGAGGGTGGATTGTAGGAGGGAGGGTGGATTGTAGGAGGGAGGGTGGATAGTAGGAGGGAGGGGGCAAGAACAGGAATGGAACGAGGGCATTCTCATTCACAGCCCCCCCCCCCCACCCCTACACTCATGCTTTTGAGTGTACTCAAAAGCAGCCCTCCCCCCCCCCATCTTATACTCATAGTCACCCACCCTTACACTCAGAGCCAACCCGCCCCCCTCCTTACATTCACCAAGCACTCGGTCACAGCTACGTGCAGTCACCCCTTGCACTCACACGGTCATCTCACAGAGTGCCCTCGTTACACTCACACGTTTGTTACACTCACATGTGACGTCCTTGACAGCGTCGTAGAGCTGCTGCGAGACGTTCTTCGCACACCGACGCCGTGGGCTTGGGGAGAGGGGAGTAGCACAGCACAGCACAGATACACACACACAGACATACACACACACACACACACACACACCCACACACACCCACACACACTGTACGCGCACTCATTCAACCCGTTACACTCACACGTCACGTCCTTGACAGCGTTGTAGAACTGCTGCGAGACGTTCTTGCACACCGACGCCGTGGGCTTGGGCAGCAGGGTGAAGTAGGACCCGCTGTCTGCAACGTGGGGGGGTGGGGGGAGGGGGGAGGGGGGAGGTTACAACGAGTGTTGTTGCACATGCACGCGGTGGGCTTGGGCAGCAGGGTGAAGTAGGAGCCGCTGTCTGCAACGTGGGGGGGAGGGGGGGAACGGGGAAGGGAACAGACGGTTATGGGAAAAAGAAAGGGAGGGGAAGAGGGGGAGTGTGGGGGGGAGAAGGGGGAGGGGAGAGGGGTGGGGGTGAGAGGGGAGGGGGGGGGGGAGGAGTGCCCTTGACGGAATATGAGTACTGCTTGGTCAAACCAACCTAGGTAAACCTTCCTGAGAAAAAAGTATCATTTTCAGGAAGAAAAATGCGTCGTGGTTTTGCTTACCACTTTTTCGGTAGAAGTTTCAAATTTTCGATACCCCTTCTTTCCAGCCTCCAGAGACACACGTTATCCCCGTTATAATCCCACTCTCACATGGGTTACACGTTATCCCGCATACAATCCACGGCACTATGAACTGGCCCTCGGTGTATGGCCCACAATTTATCCCCGTTATAAGCCCGCAAACCCATCCACTCACCCGGGTTACACGTTATCCCGCATATAAACTGCTCCACTATGAACTGCCCCTCGGTGTACGGCCCCGTGACGTCGCACGACTGGTAGTCTGCGCCCAGCGTCGAATCCGCCAGCTGTAGCACCAGGCTCGGCGCTACAGCCAGGAGCAGGGCCGTCGCGTTTACTGCATTCTGCGGGAATAGAAAGGACGGGGGGGGGGAAAGCGAGGGGACAGGGGGGGGGAACTTTTTTAGGCGCCTCAAAAATGGAAAGAGAGGGGACAGGGGGGGGAAGAGGGAAGAGGGTTGGTTGGGGTGGGGGTACGATTGAGGGGAGGGGGACGAGAGGGGCCGCGGAGAGGGGAGTGTGCGGGGAAAAGCGCTTTAAAGTCGACTCAAAAGCAGGGTAATGCGTGACGTCGCACGACTGGTGGTCCGCGCTTAGAGTCGAGTCCGTCAGCTGTAGCACGAGGCTCGGCGCTACAGACAGGAGCAGGGCTGTAGCGTTGACTGCGTTCTCCGGGGAAACCAAAAGGGGGAGGGTGGGCGGGGGGGGGGAGGGCAAGAGGGGAGGGAACATCCCGCAAGAGGGGAGAGGATGGGGGAAGGAGGCGGCGGGATTACGCTTTAAAGCTTCCTTCTGAGCCGAACCGAGCCGGTTTCGACGCCCTACCTGCTGTAGCGAGATGACGAAATCCTCGCACGCGCTACAGCACGAGTACTGGGCGGCAGACAGGCACCGAATGGGCGGCACTATCGGCTTCACGGGCCGCGCGCCCGTCCGCGGGCAGATCGGGTAAGCCGCCACCGCCGCTCCCGCCGCTGTTCCCGCCGCATTTCCCGGTGGTGCGGACGACGGCGCTAGCGCCGCGCGTGCCGGGTAGGGTGAGAAAGCTAGGCTGAGCGCTATATAAGTTAAGGTGAGGAACGCGGTACGAGCCATCGCGTGTGGTTTGGGGTGGTGACTGCCGCGGAAATCAATTCTGGTTGTTGATTGACGCGGAAATCAATTCTGGTTGTTGATTGACGAGACGGAGCTTTGAGACTGGGCTGGTGATTGACGCGGAAATCTATTTTTGAGGCGCCTCAAAAATAGACTCCTCACGCTTGAGCTGGTGATTGACGTGGAAATAGCGGGCGTGACGAGACGGAGCTGATTTTTTACTATTCTAAAAAATCACCTACAACGTGACGAGGCGGAGCTTTGAGACGGGGCTATGCGCGTCGCGGCTTTCCTATTCCCTCAGAGAATGCAATGCGAGCGTTTAGCCTTGTCAAGTCTAAACTAACGCGCTAGATCGTGATGAAAACGTCCACCCACTTTCGCGAAAACCTATCTTTCGCGATGTGGCTTCGTGAACGCGCTAGAGCAAAGTGGCTACTGGAGAGTTATAATACCCGCTAGACCGGCTGGTTTTGCTCGCCGCAGTCGGATATGGCGACGGAGAATACAGGAGCAAAGGTCAACGGCCCTGATCTACTTGCTCTCTTACTTCTTGAGCTTCGCCACAACGATGAGGCCCCAACAATGAGGCCCTTCGAAGCATTCTTTCACGGCTGTACAGTAAGTCCAAACTGAGGGAGGGCGTCAGGAAGAAGCTAAAACGACATGGAACTGTAAGGACCTCCATACGTTACTGTAGCATGGAGGGTGGCTCGGCACGGCATGTTATGGCAGTCACGCGATTAGGCAGACCCAAGGTGGGGTTGGTTCGGTGCGTCGCACTGAAAGTTGAGAGGGCAGTGCGGCGATGGCTAAGGGATTATAATTTTGGAGAAATAATGCACATTTGCATTTGCATATTCTGTTTTGGATATGGAACTCATACATATGCTCGTTACTCAGGTTATCGCAGAATTTAGGATGAAGAGTTCGCCTTCGTCTGAGGAACAAAATAGGCGCGCAGCATAACCACCCGGGTGTGTTTTTATTTTTTCCCGGACAAAGGAAAATGCCAAAGTTCGCCTGGACTGGTTCGGGCAAAGCTTTTCGGCCCGCCGCAAGGTCGAGCCGCTCGGAAGAGCAGTCTCCCACGTTCGGGACGGCTGATGCGCGGTACGGGAGCAAGCCTAGCTACGCTCCCTCCAATTGGCCGCACCTTTCAACACGCGCAAACGGCGGCTGACCGTCCCTGAAACACGTGGCGTAACATAAGAGGCTGCTGAGGGGTCGAATAAGCTGCCTACCGCAACAAGAATCTGTGCTTCCAAGACAACGAACGTGCTCATAACTTCATATCAAAACACTGAAGCTACAATAGCAGGTTATGTACACAAATGCCCTAAAGGCACATGACAAGTAGCTTTAGTAAGTGCACGATGCACACAGGTTCTTAGTGCCTATTCAGGGGCCTCTTGGAACTACCCTTCGAGACCAAAAATAAGAGGGGAGTATTTGGGCTCCCACATCCGCTTCTCCACCTCCTTTCGCAATTGATCCTGTGTTATAAGGCAAGAAAATAAGAATGAGAATTGCATCGCTGTATCCACAAGCTCAAGCTTTGACGTCCTGCATAACAAAACATTTTTTTCTTCTTTCATTACTCAATCCATACCTTTGACATGGATAGCAGCTGGTCGGCTCGCAGGTTGGAAATGCCATCCGCCAGTCCCTCCTCAGCCGCCTGCCTGGCCACCGCCACTGCCACATGGGATGTGATGTCACGGATGTGGCTCATGCACGGGTAGAGCATGCCTCTGTGCACCTGGTCGTCTGTCGTGTAATCAGCTAGCCTGGGGGGTGGGAGCGGGGGACAGAAGGAAAAAGAAGTGAATGAAATACGGGATGCGATGCCACGGATGTTGCTCGTGCACGGCGTCTGTTATGCATTCAGCTAACCTGGAGGGTGGAAGTGAGAGATAGAAGGAAAAAGAAGAGAATGAAACATGGGATGTGACGTCACGGATGTGGATGTGGCTCGTGCACGGGTAGAGCAAGCCCCTGTGCATAAGACACCTTGCGGCCTTGCGGCCTTGCGGCCTTGCGCCCTTGCGCCCTTGCGCCCTTGCGCACCTTGCCATCTGCTAAACTACTCTGCCAACTACTCTGCCCGTTTAATCGTGGGAGAGCACTAGAGAAGGGAGGAGACAAAAAGGCAAGTCAACTTGAGAGAACAAACCATCTTAGGAGATTGCATGGCATCTTATGCCTCAACCCCCCAGTCAAAAAGAGATCGTACGCTGTGAAATGCCGTGCCATTCGTCCAGCACTCACTGGTGCACCGCAGCCTGCAGCATGCCGTCTGAAATCATGAGAGTGGAAACTCTTCGTGCGCCCACACACACACATGCTATGCACCATGCCATGCCATGCCATGCCAGCATTCAGCACTCACTGGTGCGCAGCAGCCTGCAGCATGCCGTCTGAAATCATGCGCGCGCCGGAGAGAAGGGAGCCCGACACAATGCTGATTGGAAACAGGGGCGGGCAGCGGGAGCAGAGACAGCGGGGGGGGGGGGAGAAGGGGAGAGGGGTGGGGGGAGCGAGACCATAAAAAGGTGAAGGAATCTGTAAAGAGACAAGGCAGACAGAGAATCAAGAGAATGCATGCATGACATGACATCAGCCTAGACTTGTGTGAGGCAGCCCCACACACACATGCCGCCACCCCACACATGCGTGCAGCCACCCCACACATGCATGAAGCCACCCCACTCGTGCACGCCACCACACCACGCACGCATGCCGCCACCCCACGCACGCATGCCGCCACCCCACGCACGCATCCCACCACCCCGCGCATGCATGCCGCCACCCCACGCACGCATCCCACCACCCTGCGCACGCATGCCGCCACCCCACGCACGCATGCCGCCAGTGCAGCCCTGCATGGCCTACCCAGGAGACAGGAACACGTTGTTCGCTTGGCTAGTGTGCCCCACCTTGCCGTTCGCTGTCGGGGGAGGGTAGGGTTGGGGCGAAACGGAAGGAAGGGGGGTTAAAGCCCAGGTCCCTCTTCTTAAAGGCGAGTCAGGTCAACGCGGTTTAGGTTCAGCAAGAGATGGAGTCGAGGTTTGCTAAGTTCCGAGTTGAATCTGGCACAAACACTAGCTGCAAAAGACGTCGCCAGCAGACAGCCCGAACCTCATTTCTGTATCCGATGCCCAAGCAACTCCCGAAGCTGCTGGACTGGCTCGGCTGTGGTGGCAGATATGGGCGTTGTGAGCGAGAGGGGGGTTGCGAACGGCAAATTCGGTTTCTGGCTTCCCATTCGCCAGAGTCGACTCAGAGCGACTTTTGAGTCGACTCAAAAGTCTCCATTCGCCAGAGCTGGTCGATTTGAGTCGACTCAAAAGTCTCCATTCGCCAGACCTGGTCGATTTTAGTCGACTCAAAAGTCTCCATTCGCCAGAGCTGGTCGATTTGAGTCGACTCAAAAGTCTCCATTCGCCAGAGCTGGTCGATTTGAGTCGACTCAAAAGTCTCCATTCGCCAGAGCTGGTCGATTTGAGTCGACTCAAACGTCTCCATTCGCCAGAGCTGGTCGATTTGAGTCGACTCAAAAGTCTCCATTCGCCAGAGCTGGTCGATTTGAGTCGACTCAAAAGTCTCCGCCAGAGTTGGTCGATTTGAGGCGACTCAAAAGTCTCCATTCGCCAGAGCTGGTCGATTTGAGTCGACTCAAAAGTCTCCATACGCCAGAGCTTGTCGATTTTTGCCTGGGGATGAGTGGATTCGGTTACCAGCCCTAAACCCTGAACCTTCATCAACTGGGCCCAGTCAGATCGCTGGTCCCTCCCTGACTTTACTAATCTGGGATCTGGGCTTTAAGTGGCCTTTATGCATGGCGGGTGTGCCCTACCTTGCTGGGGGTAGGGATCAGGGAGGGGTGGGGGAACAAGAGGGGTGAGGGAATTGGCCGGCCACTGGCAAAGAGAGGAAGTGAAAAAGGTCCACGGGATTAAGTGAAATCTTACAGAGAGGACTAGCAAGTGCGAAGTGACGTACGGAATCTGACGTCGGGGAAGGTGCAGCCGCTGGCAAAGAGAGCGCTGGGACCCAGCAGCTCGAAGGCGTCCTGCGCCGTGCACTCAGCTGGTAGGGGGGGTGGGTGGGGGGCAGAGGCCCGGGATGGAGGGTGGAAGGAGGTAGCATTTTTTAGTCGACTCAAAAATCGACTCATTACACAAGGAGGTAGAATTGAGCAAAGAGCGCGTTGGGACAAAGGAGCTTGAAGGCATCCTGCGCCGTGCACTCGGCTGGGGGGGGGTGGAGGGAAGGGAGGGGGGAATGGGGGGGAGCGGCTGGAGAGAGGCAAGGAGAGGATGAGGTAGAGGGGAAGAGGGGGGTGGTAAGAAGCACAGACAGCGGGCTACTGAACGCATCAGGAGGAGACCTCACATGCAACCTTGGAAGTACGGAATCATCTGCACGAGTGTTTCCAACGAACGAGTGTTTCCAGTGAACGAGCGCACACACTCTTTCCCATCTGCCAAGCAACAAGTACATTGTCAATGCAAAAACCGCATGCAACGAGTCTACTTTTGACTGGAATCAAAGGCAAGGAGAGGAGGTAGAGCGTTGGTAAGAAGAAAAGACATCTGGATGGCCCGACCCTCCCAGCACATGAGCGTCCAGACTGCTTTCTGCACACCCTCGTTGTCAAACAGATGGCACGACCCACCCTTGAATGTCCCTCCCACCCTCTTCCCTTGAATGTCCTCATGGACCAGGACCCTACCTTGCTTCTCAGGCTGCGAGAGAGCAAAGACAGCCGGCCGGGACACGTCGGCGTTCTTCATGGCTTTGAGCACCTCGTCGTCAAACAGATGGCTCATCGGGACCCGCTCAGGCTGATGAGCACGTGCGGCTTCACCCGGCTCACCCCTCTGGGGCATGTGTCCATCTCACCTTGCTTCACCGGCTGGGACAGAGCAAACACAGCTGGGCGAGAGACATCCGCGTTCTTCATGGCTTTAAGAACCTCGTCGTCAAACAGATGGCCCGACCCGCTCAGCCCGATGAGCACGTGCGGCTTCACCCGCTTCACCACATTCGCCAGGGCGTCACCCTCCTTGAGCCTCGCTTCTTCCTTGGGGCGACACAAGAAGTCCTCCAACTCGGGTGCACAGCTCACCCTGGCGTCGGTCATAAGACCCTGGGGGGGACACACAGAGGGGCACACAGAGGCGCACAATGGTTAGAACCGACGGCCCGACCCGCTCAGCCCAATGAGCACGTGCGGCTTCACCCGCTTCGCCACGTGCGCCAGGCTCTCGCCCTCCTTGAGCCTCGCTTCCTCATTGGGGCAGCGCAGAAAGTCCTCCAACTCGGGCGCACAGCTCACTCGCGCCTATGTCAACAAGGCCTGCACGGGTGAGACATGGATGACGTGGATGATGGAACAAGTCAAGGTACCCCGGCCAACACAAGTGGGTCAACACAAGGCACATCCAGCCCGATGAGCACAACTGTCCGACTGACCAACACGTGCGGCCTCCCTTCCTAATCCGACAACCCACCCTCGCTTGGGAGTAAGCCAACGCAAGTCAAGAAGAGTCAACGCCTCACCTGGTCATCCACGAGCCAGAAGTTTTCAGCTGCCCGATCCATCGCGGCTTTGCCCGGCCCGATCTGCCGGGCCATTGCCCTTCGCACCGCCGTCAGCACACCCTCTGCCTCCCTGCGGATCACCAACAGAAAGGGAGAGAGGGTGGGTCGTGGGGGGAAGAGGAAAGTGGAAGGGGCCTCAAGAACCGATTGGGCTCGCACAGAATCATCTGGCCAACAACGCCCCCAGCACTCCACGGTTCAATCACCAGTTCCACTGCACGTGCTATCAAGGTGTGAGTAACTGAACTGCATCTCCCATCACTGCATCCCTTCCCGTGCCGGCCACCACCAGTCTAGTCTCTGCCAGTGCGCGCGGGGGGAGGTGCTGCGCTAAGAGCATGTGGAGTCACCCGTCTACACCTGCTACCACCTGCTACCACCTGCTACCACCTGCTATCACCACTCTCAACCATACCTGTCAGTGCTGGCCACCACCACCCTGCTTTCGGCGAGAGCACGGGGCGGGAGGTGCTGAGCCATGAGCACATGGAGTCACCGCTCTGCACCTGCCACCACCGCGCTCTCAGCCATACCTGGCAGTACCAGCCACCACGACCCTTGTCTCCACAAGAGCACGAGAAGGGAGGTGCTGCCGCATCAGCAGCCCATCAGCAGAGGGGTGCTCGGCATGTAGCCATCCCTCGGCACCTGCTATCACCGCACCCAACCGTACCTGCCAGTGCCGGCCACCACCACCCTGGTCTCTGCCAGTGCGCGTGGGGGGAGGTGCTGCGCCCTGAGTAGAGCCCTTGCTCGGCACCTCCCATTACCACTCTGCGCCTCTCATCACCGTTCTGCACCTGCTGCCACGTCTCTCTCAGCCGTACCTGCCAGTGCCGGCCACCACCACTCTGGTCTCTGCCAGGGCGCGCGGGGGGAGGTGCTGCGCCCTGAGCACGTTCAGAATGCCCGCCACTGCCACTCCGCCGGAGCCCTGGAGGTATATCAACAGGTAAGAGGGGGGAGGGAGGGGGGTTGGACAGAGGAGCAGAAGGAGCAGCAGGTGCTGCGCACAGAGCACGTTGAGAATGCCCGCCACTGCCACTCCGCCGGAGCCCTGGAGGTATATCAACAGGTAAGAGGGGGGAGGGAGGGGGGTTGGACAGAGGAGCAGAAGGAGCAGCAGGTGCTGCGCACAGAGCACGTTGAGAATGCCCACCACTGCCACGCCGCCCGCGCCCTGGTGGCTGGTGATTGTAGCACCGGGAGGGGAGGGGGGGGTGTGTGGTGAGCGAGTTTAAGGGAGAGGAGGAGAAGCGGGGGAAGGTGCTGCACTCTGAGGACTCCGCCCCTGGCCGTGGGCTTATGGCATCGAAGGAGGCACAGCGTGGCGTGTGGGGAATGCGGGCGAACGGCCTGGGAAAACGAGACAGTGTTAGAGACACTTGAGAGACATACCTCTCTATTGTCACTAAGAACGATGGCTTCAATAGTGCCGCTCACCTCGATGTCGTCGTTGAAGATGCGGTACTGCGACTTGTACCGCCCCATGAGGGTCTTGGCCCACCCACACCTTGGTGTTACTAACCATGGCCCTCCATTTACACCTTGATAACATCGCATATGGTCACAGCATCCCTCCCACCTCACCTCGATGTCATCGTTGAAGATGCGGTACTGCGACTTGTACCGCTCCATGAGGGTGTTGGCCCACCGCATCTCAAAGTCCTCAAACTGAGTAGCAGCCATACACACATGCACCCATGCACGCATGCACGCATGCACGCATGCACCCATGCACCCATGCACCCATGCGCGCATGCACATACATGGAGATACGAAAAACACACACACAAAACATAAGGGCGTCGGCGCATTGCACACACAGAAGTGCTCATGCTGAGACTTCAGAGTGAAAACAGCGTGAAAATACAGCCTCCCTGAGAGCAATACAGCACCCCAGATATAGCCCAACTCAGATACTACCTTCTCTAAATACTACCTGTACAGCGGCGTTGGGCCAGCTCGAGAAGAAGGCCTCCATACTCGTCCATGAGGGAAAGGTAGTGCTCCTAAGTGACACTGCCTGTCCCAGACGCCACCTTCTCTACCTGCCCCACATGCTACCTCCCCCACGTGCTACCTCCCCCACGTGCCTACCTGCACAATGACATTGGGCCAGCGCGAGAACACCGCCTCCATGAACTCGTCCATGAGAGAGAGGTAGTGCTCGCCGTCCACCCTAGCGTGGCGCAGACCCAGATCTGCGTGGGTGAGGTTGACAAGAGGAGGGGCAAGGGGGGATGAGGCCTGTCCATTCAACACCGCCTCGCCCATGAGAGAGAGGTAGTGCTCGCCGTCCACCCTAGCGTGGCGCAGACCCAGATCTGCGTGGGTGAGGTTGACAAGAGGAGGGGCAAGGGGGGATGAGGCCTGTGGGAGGTTGACCACATCTGCGTGGGCCTGTGGAAGGTTGACCCAGATCTGCGTGGGTGAGGTTGACGCAGACCCAGGTCTGCGTGGGTGAGGTTGACGCAGACCCAGGTCTGCGTGGGTGAGGTTGACGCAGACCCAGGTCTGCGTGGGTGAGGTTGACGCAGACCCAGGTCTGCGTGGGTGAGGTTGACGCAGACCCAGGTCTGCGTGGGTGAGGTTGACGCAGACCCAGGTCTGCGTGGGTGAGGTTGACGCAGACCCAGGTCTGTGGGAGTAGACGATGGGGCCATGGATGGCAGATGGGGATTGGGGCGTGGGGCTCATTCAGACCGCTGGAGCATGGGCATGAGCATGGGCATGGGCATGGGCATGGGCATGGGCATGGGCATGGGCATGGGCATGGGCATGGGCATGGGCATGGGCATGGGCATGGGCATGGGCATGAGCATGAGCATGGGCATGAGGCCTCGCTGTTAGCAGAGACATGTACATCAAGAATTTACGCAAGAAGATTCGGCTCAGAAACTAAGGCGAGTCTGCTTACAGAGGGGATTCTTGATGAGGGCCTCATTGTTGGTGCCGACATCGAACATGGCAGGGAGGACCTGACAACATGCAGGGGGGGAGAGACGTAGCACGTAAGTGAGACAACATGACTGGGAGATCCCAAGGATCGTGACTGGGAGGGGAGACAACATGACTGGAAGGACCCGAAAACATGCCGGGGGGGAGAGAGACAGAGAGAAGGTGACTTTTGAGTCGACTCAAAGGTCATCTTGATGGTGGCGTCGTTGTTGGTGCCGACATCGAGCATGACTGGGAGGACATGCTAGTTTTGAGGCGCCTCATAACATGCAGGGGGGGAGAGAGACAGAGAGAAGGAAGGGGAACAGAGGGAAGCGGCAGAGAGAGATGTGGGGTGATTCACTCGGCCACTGGGTGATTCACTCGGCCACTGGGTGATTCACTCGGCCACTGGGTGATTCACTCGGCCACTGGGTGATTCACTCGGCCACTGGGTGATTCACTCGGCCACTGGGTGATTCACTCGGCCACTGGGTGATTCGCTCGGCCACTGGGTGATTCACTCGGCCACTGGGTGATTCACTCGGCCACTGGGTGATTCGCTCGGCCACTGGGTGATTCGCTCGGCCACTGGGTGATTCACTCGGCCACTGGGTGATTCACTCGGCCACTGGGTGATTCACTCGGCCACAAGGTGATTCACTCGGCCACTGGGTGATTCACTCGGCCACTGGGTGATTCACTCGGCCACTGGGTGATTCGCTCGGCCACTGGGTGATTCGCTCGGCCACTGGGTGATTCACTCGGCCACTGGGTGATTCACTCGGCCACGAGGTGACTCACTGACGACACTTACCCTGTTAGGAGGGACGCCCGCCGCTGCCACATACATGTCCAGCTTGACCACTGGGATGGCTATGGCAGTCAGTGAGTTCGTGCCAGTGAGTTCGTGCCAGTGATTTCGTGCCAGTGATTTCGTGCCAGTGATTTCGTGCCAGTGATTTCGTGCCCTGTTGATGTATTACACTCACCCTGTTGGGCGGTATGCCAGCAGCCGCTACATGCATGTCCAGCTTGCCCACTGGGACGGCTATCGCCTGCACGCCAGGTGTCGAGCTCGCCAGGTACTAGTATGAAAGCAAGTCTCTCAGTCAGTCATTTATCCCACTCACCCTGTTGGGAGGAATGCCGGCCGCAGCGACATACATGTCGAGCTTCCCCACTGGGATGGCTATCGCCTGCACGCCCAAGTCGCCCAGCCCCAGCACCTTGCTGCCGTCCGTCAGCACTATCACATCCACCTGGGGTTGTTGGGTAGAAGAGTTGGGCCAATAATCCATGGAAAGGAAAGGGCAAGGGGGCGCGTAAGTGGTGAAGGCAGGACAGGGTGTGAGAGAGTGGGTGCGCACCCCACCCACACCGTCCAGATCGGAAAGTCCATCATGACTATCACAACCACCTCTGGCCATTGGATATACCAGAATTGGGCCAATAACAATGGAGGGAGAGGGTGTGAGAAAGTCTCCGTGGCTCCAAATCCCCCAGCCCAGCACCTTGCTGCCGCCAGTCATTACCATCACATCCACCTGGATGGAGGAGAGAAGATTCGACGTGAAGAGGTGGAGGGGCGCTGGGAGGGAAGGCGAGGCTTGCAAGCAACAAACCCTTTCCCCCCCTTCCACTCCTGCCCCTCTCTCTCACCTTGGTGACTTTTGAGTCGACTCAAAAGTCACCAGAGAAAGGAGAGGAAGGCCGGGCAACAAACCCTTCCCCCCCCTTCCTCTCCTGCCCCTCTCTCTCACCTTGTCGCCCAGCAAGGTGAGAGAGAGGGGGAGAGGGGGAAGAGAGAAAGGAGAGGAAGGCCGGGCAACAAACCCTTTCCCCCCCTTCCTCTCCTGCCCCTCTCTCTCACCTTGTCGCCCAGCAAGGTGAGAGAGAGGGGGAGAGCGGGAGGAGAGAAAGGAGAGGAAGGCCGGGCAACAAACCCTTTCCCCCCCTTCCTCTCCTGCCCCTCTCTCTCACCTTGTCGCCCAGCAAGGTGAGAGAGAGGGGGCGAGGGGGAGGAGAGAAAGGAGAGGAAGGCCGGGCAACAAACCCTTTCCACCCCTTCCTCTCCTGCCCCTCTCTCTCACCTTGTCGCCCAGCAAGGTGAGAGAGAGGGGGAGAGGGGGAGGAGAGAAAGGAGAGGAAGGCCGGGCAACAAACCCTTCCCCCCCCTTCCTCTCCTGCCCCTCTCTCTCACCTTGTCGCCCAGCAAGGTGAGAGAGAGGGGGAGAGGGGGAAGAGAGAAAGGAGAGGAAGGCCAAGCAACAAACCCTTTCCCCCCCTTCCTCTCCTGCCCCTCTCTCTCACCTTGTCGCCCAGCAAGGTGAGAGAGAGGGGGCGAGGGGGAGGAGAGAAAGGAGAGGAAGGCCGGGCAACAAACCCTTTCCCCCCCTTCCTCTCCTGCCCCTCTCGCTCACCTTGTCGCCCAGCAAGGTGAGAGAGAGGGGGAGAGGGGGAGGAGAGAAAGGAGAGGAAGGCCGGGCAACAAACCCTTCCCCCCCCTTCCTCTCCTGCCCCTCTCTCTCACCTTGTCGCCCAGCAAGGTGAGAGAGAGGGGGAGAGGGGGAAGAGAGAAAGGAGAGGAAGGCCGGGCAACAAACCCTTCCCCCCCCTTCCTCTCCTGCCCCTCTCTCTCACCTTGTCGCCCAGCAAGGTGAGAGAGAGGGGGCGAGGGGGAGGAGAGAAAGGAGAGGAAGGCCGGGCAACAAACCCTTTCCCCCCCTTCCTCTCCTGCCCCTCTCTCTCACCTTGTCGCCCAGCAAGGTGAGAGAGAGGGGGAGAGGGGGAGGAGAGAAAGGAGAGGAAGGCCGGGCAACAAACCCTTCCCCCCCCTTCCTCTCCTGCCCCTCTCTCTCACCTTGTCGCCCAGCAAGGTGAGAGAGAGGGGGAGAGGGGGAAGAGAGAAAGGAGAGGAAGGCCGGGCAACAAACCCTTCCCCCCCCTTCCTCTCCTGCCCCTCTCTCTCACCTTGTCGCCCAGCAAGGTGAGAGAGAGGGGGAGAGGGGGAGGAGAGAAAGGAGAGGAAGGCCGGGCAACAAACCCTTTCCCCCCCTTCCTCTCCTGCCCCTCTCTCTCACCTTGTCGCCCAGCAAGGTGAGAGAGAGGGGGAGAGGGGGAGGTGAGGAAGGAGAGGAAGGCCGGGTAACAAACCCTTTCCCCCCCTTCCTCTCCTGCCCCTCTCTCTCACCTTGTCGCCCGGCCAGTTGTGCACCATGCTGGCCATCTCCCCCCTATCCGCCGCGCTGAAGCACATGCCCCTGGGCCCTCCATACTCACCCATACATACATCCAGCCATAGGGAAAACACGAATCCCTCTCATCTCCCCTCATCTCGCCCCCTCCCTCTCACCTTGTCGCCCGGCCAGTTGTGCACCATGCTGGCCATCTCGCCCCTATCCGCCGCGCTGAAGTACATGCCCCTCGGCCGCCGGAACAGGCTGCTGTACTTCTGACAGACGGTGCCGACCGTGGGGATGTAGAGAATGCGACTCATCTCCTGAATGTGGTCAATGAGCACCTGAAAGAGAGGGGTGGGGGGTGGGGGGGGCGGGATGAGGAGGGGAGGAGGAAGAGAGGACAAGCAGGGGGGGGAGCAGGCTGGCAGATGATGCCCATTGTGGGGATGTAGAGATTGCCCATTGTCCGATGGAGCACCAAATAGGTGCCATGGTGTCAATACGTGGCAGCAACTTAGAGGTCAACACCTGTGATGCTAGGAAGAGTGCTTATTGCGGTCTCATTGCGGTCGTGCAGGCGGGGCGGTTGAGAATGTTTCAACGAGAATGCCGTGCAAACCGAAATATCATTGCACAAGCTCCTCTTCCCCACCCACCCCGTAATATAGAGTTTCTTTTCTGTCGTGCGTGCAGGCGGTTGAAAATGCGTCTTCTCTTGCAGGTCCACCGGGTTATCTGGCATGTGAGGCTTCTGGTGAAGAACGTCTGGCGGCACTGACTCACCCCAACCCATTAAGACCACCAGCCACGGTACGCCAACCCACCCGGTAGTAGAGCGTCTCATTGCGGTCGTGCAGGCGGTTCAGAATGCGCCACTTCTGCAGGTCGACCGGGTCGTCCGGCATGAGGGGCTTCTGGTCCATCTTCCTGTACTCCGCCACTGATGAAGGGGGGGGGGTGGGGGGGGGGGGGGAGGGGGTGATGTCAGAACGGGGCTGGAAACACGCCATTAGCACGACAAGTCCGATTGGGCATGAGGGGCTTCTGATCCATCTTCTTGTACTCCGCCACTGGTGAGGGGGGACAAGGGGAGAGGGGGAGAAGGGGAGGGAGAGGGGGGAGGGGTGGGGAGCGGTGTGTCAGAGCGCATCTGAACAGCGCAGGAGGGGCTCCTGATCCATCTTCTTGTACTCCGCCACTGGGTGGGGGAGGGTGGGGGAGGGTGGGGGAGGGTGGGGGGAAGAGGGGGGAAGGGGAGGGAGAGGGGTGTGTTAAGGTGCACCTCGAGAGCACATGAGGGGCTTCTGGCCCATCTTCTTGTACTCCGCCACTGGTGGGGGAGGAGGGTTGGGAGGGGAGGGAAAGAAATGGGAGGGAGAGGAGCAGCGGGAAGCGGGGGGGGCTTTCGTAAACCTGGTTCGAACTCCGGGTGAACCCGAGTCGGACTCCGAGTGAACCTGGTTCGAATTCCGGTTCAAACTCCTGGTTCGACTCCGAGTAAACCTGGGTCGAACCCACGAAAGGACACAAATAAATGAACAGAGCGACCTGCTTGTCCGAAGTTTCGAACCCGGGTGGCGCTAGGGTACGAGCTCGCTATAACCTGCCTCGTTATAGCCTGTATCTCTTAAAGCACTCTGGCACTTACTGAACTGCGCCACCTGTTCGTCCATGGTCTGGTATCCAAGCAGCAGCAGAGCTTCGTTATAGGCTGCCTCGTTTTAAGCACACCGGCACTTACTGAACTGCGCGACCTGCTCGTCCATGGTCTGGTATCCGGGCGGCAGCAGCCCCCTCAACCCGAGGCGATCCCTCTCCGGCGCTTCGAACGCCGTGTGCTGGGAAAGTGGGGCGGGGGGAGGGAGAAGGGAAGGGGGGGAGGGGGAGAGCGGGGAAAGGGGAAGCGTTGGGGAGGATGAGTGGGGAAGGTAGACGCCCTTAGACGAAGAGACTGGGGAATAGCGAGGCCGAAGAGGAAAAGGGAGGAGGGAAGGGGGGGGGGGGGGGGGGGGGGAAGAAGAGAGCGTGTGCCTACCTCGTAATGCCACTCTCGCTAATTATCTCACACCTTGTTATACCTTGGGTCGTGCAGCAGGTCGGAGCCCGTTGTTATACCGCCCTCGCGTATAGTCACATCTCACGCATACCTTATTGTACCACGGGTCGTGCAGCAGGTCGGCGCCCCGCTTCGCCATGATTATGGGCTGTCCGCTGTGCACGTCGCGGCACCCCATCATTGGACGCGTCAAGCCCTCGACGCGACGCGTAAAGAGAGTAGCCTCAAAAGGCCGTCCGCTGTGCACGTCGCGGCACCCTAGTAGTGGACGCGTCCAACCCTCCACGGGTCGACCCTCACGCGCAACAAATCTCTCACGCGGAAAGCCCCCCTCACGCGCGAGCGCTCGCTCCTTCCCGCGCCCCTTCACGGCCTCCCGCGCGCATCGCGCAGCTGCGCGGATCAGCGCCGACATTATCCAAGTCACACAGCGCCGCGTGTGCGTAGGAAGCCGCGTGTGCGCGTGTGCGTAGGGAGCCGCGTGTGCGCGTGTGCTTAGTACAGCGAGTCTATGGCGGGATGTAGGGCGAATATGCGATGCGCGGGTTTCGAAAAGCCCGTCACGACGGTGCAGACCCTTGGAATCGACGAATTCAAGCGCGGGTTCAGCGGGTGACGTAGGGATTTTTTAAATTTTTTTTTTTTTTATTGACGAAAGCGTTGGTGTAAAAAATACAGTTGCGCAGGTAGCGGGTGCGGGTACAGTTGTGGTGGCTTTGGTTACGGTGAATGCAAGGAGATGTGACGGTGGCGAAGTGAGGCAATGGATTCCGTAGAGGGGGGGCGAGTGGCAGTGGCGATGGGAGTCGAGTCAAGATTCGCGAGATTCGCGAAAGGAGAGCAGATAAATCCCTCGGCAGGAAACGCGATAGTCGTCACCAACGCGAGGAACGGCAAGCGGACCAGCGCAGCGGAACACCCACGATACCACACCCGCCAACACTTCACTCACAGCATGAATGCAAGCAGTGAGGTCTCTGCCATAGCTTTCGCTTTGCAGTACACCTTTTTACCTCTATCGTTCCACCCGTAACAGTCCAAACTGCAATCCCACCTACCAGGTTCTCAGCATTCCGCGCGTTGACACTGAACCTGATTGGCTGCAGTCTGAACGATAACGAACAACCAAGTCGACTTTCGACAATTTCATGTTTGAGGTGGGACGTCGTGCAGGCAACTTATCTAGTGCATGAGCGAGAATTTGTAACCAAGTGTCATTGTTTACTGTGGGTTTCCCTCTTCCTGGTCCCGTTTGCCCGTGTTTTACTATTCCCTGTTTTCAGAATCAGGCCGCATACTTAAATCTGTAAATTGAAAGAGGAAAAACAGTGTAGCAGAGCACATTGCAAGGAGGGGAGGGAGAGGAATGTAGCGGGCAGTGTTGTGGTTTCTTAGTGCAGTCTTTTGATTTCCTCCTGAAATAAGGGCTGGAAAATATTGCGTTCATGTGGTGTATTCTGTCCTCCCTGACTTCTGGAACGAAAAAAACGGGCCTTTCTGGGTTGACTACGGGCATTCAATATTTGTACTGACCTAAACTTCACGTCTCAGGGCTGCCCCTGACAAGTGGTGTTCGGGGTCTGACGAAAACGCCTTTCACTCCCCCCAAGAACCAGCTCAGCTGAGTGATATCCTGCAGGGCAGTAAAACTGGGACACGTCAAATCAGAACGAAGATGATGACGTGGATGTCCCCGCTCGAAGAGTCATTTCCGCGTGGGTGTGCGTCATTGGTTTGACTGCAGCCATTGACTCGGGATGCCTGGCCAAATATCATGCAGAATTCTCAATCCTCCATTGAAGCTGCTTCGCTTATGAGACAAAGCAGGCCGCAGCCTCAAAGGTTTTGGAAGTTCGGTCCTCGTTTCTATCATCATATTATTCCTCTGAGCCATTTCCCTCAGTCAAGGTAACCTCCGCTCAACAGCAGCTAACTCCAAGGGTGTTGCGCCTCGACCATACTACGGTTATCCCTAGAAAAGCCACTACGCAGTCGCAGGACACTTTTCTCCCTGCCACAGGAACTGACCCGCGAAAGGCGTCCGTCCAATCAGAACATGTCTCGCGACAGGACGTTACCGCTAATGATAGGCGATCCGACGAACGACCGACTTCGAGGTCGCCGAAGTAATGCGATCCCGGTGACTACAGACGACCGACATCCAGCCCTTCCGAAGTGTCCGGGGAGTCTGAGCAGCGCCAGTAACTTATTTTCAGGGCCAGGACCGCCTCTTGACTTGGCTCGCCACCGACGGCGCGTCCAGTGCTCCTTTACTATTCTAGATCCTCTCGTGTTGTCGTATTTATTCTGCAGGGTGTTTTTGAGAATTCTAAAAAACACCCTGTATTTATTCCGAGTGCAGGGGTGGAAATAGCAACAGCTTTGCGGAGCACAGAGTGAAAGGCTTTTTTTGAGGTCTTTTTGAAGCTCTCCTCCTCTCGCTAGGAAAAGGTTCTTCGCTCCCCTCTTTCAACCAGCAGCAGAGCGTGCAGTTTACCGAGAAGCCTATCACTTTCCCATCTACAGTCCGTTTCTAGCTGAGAATGTGATTCCAGATGTTGCTACCAGGGCCCTAGGCCGGTCCAGAATCCAGATCCGCTGTTCCGAGATCGCTCCGCGTTTCGAAATCGTTTTTACCGGCAGATTTGCGAGGCTAGGGCGAAGTCGGCTTCGGTTGACCGCTCCAGTACTCGGAGAAACTTTCAACCATCTCTTTCCTACCTTGGTATCGCCGGGCGGAGCATTCAAGATGAAACCAAGCCGCGTGGATGCGACTCTGCAGGTTTCTCCTACTACCACCACACGTGCCGACGCGTCTCTCTCGCCATCACTGCCGTTTTCTCTCCACAATCCGTCTCGCCCGCTATTGGAACGCCTGCAGCGGTGGAAGCGCGTCTTCGGGCCGCGCCTCATCCTGCTCCTCCTCCCGGACGGCTCCATGGAGATGTACGCGCCCGGCGGAAAAACACCCGCGCCCGGCGGAAAAACACCCTCCGCCAACGGGGGGGATTTTCCCGGCGGGGAATCTCCCGCGCCTGGCGGAGGCGGAAAGGGCAGCTCCGCCATCGGCGCAACCAGCTCCGTGGAGATCCATGTCGCCGGCCGTAGAACTCCCGTCAGCGGCGGAAAGAGGGCCAGCATCGCGGGCGACGAGTCCGCATCCGCGCACCTCTCGCAGTCCGCGCGCCACCCCGCGCGGAGTCGCAGTCCGCGCAGGCTCCGCGGAAGCGGCGGGCGGGCGGGCGGAAGGGCGGGCGGACGGGCGGGGCGGCAGCTGACGGTGGCGGACGTGATGCGCGAGCACCCCGGGTACTGCGTGGGGTCCATGTCGTCCAAGCGCGCCGTGCTGCCGCGGGATAAGGTGCTCCACCCGGGCGGGACTTATTATCTGTCCAAGCCGTTTCTTGCGGGGGAAGGCGCGCTGGAAGGGAAGGGCGCGGAAGGGCAGGGCGCGGAAGGGCGGAGCGCGGAAGGGCGGAGCGCGGAAGGGCAGATTTCGAAGCAGCAGATAGAACGATCAGACGACGATTCAGGGGGGCACGGAAAAAAGGCAGGGGTGATAGAACCTGCCAAACAGCCAGCCAAAGAGAGGGAGGAAGATCAGGGCCTGCTGGTTGATATTCTTGGGGAATCCCAAGGTGCGGCCATGCCGCTGCCCCACGCAGCTGATGGTGTTGGCATCGGTGCCGGTGGTGGTCCGAGGCAGAAGCAGCAGCAGCACCCGGGGGGGAGTGGGATGCACATGGTGAAGGGCATCCTCACTCTCGATATCACCAGCGACGCTTCGGACAACGACGACGATACTTTTCTTAATGGTGACCATGATGATTGTGACCATGATGAGTTCTATGGCATGAAATTTGACCCAGAATCCGACAACGAATCCGACGTGGATTCCTTTGCTACAACCGGGTGCACGGGCGGCTCGTGCGTTTCCACGCCGCGATCCAGAAAGGAAGCTTCCAGAAAGCGGCCACCGCCGGCCGCCGGGCGGCCACCGCGCTTCGAGCGTCATGCCACAGTGGGCCCCAGTGCTTCCGAGTCAACCCAGTCATCCCAGTCAACCCAGTCAACGCGGTCAACGCGGTCCAGGCGACAGGGGAAGAGCATCAGCGCTCAGAACACGCCCAGAGGGCCGACTCTCTCTCGCTGGCGGAGGGAGGAGTCCCCTCGGGTGTCACACGAGTGGAGAGGCGGATTCCCCACAGGAACAGCTCCTATGAGCTTCACAGCCCAGCAGTCTCCCACAGCGGGGAAAGCCTTTGACCTGAAGGTGCAGGAATCTCCGTGGGCCCCACGGAGGGTAAACAGGAACCTGCGGTTTTGCGATCTGCAGGAAGGCTTCGGCGAAACAGGAGGCGGTGGCACTTGCGGTAGCACTTGTGGTGAGCGGGGAGGGGGCGGTGACAGGAGTGGGGACGGTGAGAGGGGAGGGGGCGTTGAGAGGGGAGGGGGTGGTGAGAGGGGAGGGGGTGGTGAGAGGGGAGGGGGTGGTGAGAGGGGGGCTTTGTGGAGGCAAGAGTCCAGTGAGAGGAATCGGCTGGCGTTGGCGCTGCAGCAGCTGTGGAGGCAGGGGTCTGGCGGCTGGGGCACTGGCTGGCACACTGCCTCAAGTGATGCTGCGGCGTCTGCCCCCTCCCCTGCTGGCGACGGTGGCTGGAATGGCACTGATCGCCCCGCTGCTGCTGCTGCTGCTGCTGGTACTTGCCCTGGGGGTGGGGACCACAAGCGTGTGCTGAGTGCGGTGTCTCTGTATGCCTTGGCTATTGACGAAGAAAGGGACATGGAGAGGAGGGCAGGGGACGGAAGGAGCAACGGCAGGGAAGGCAGCAAAACCGGAGGGGACGGATGGGCCCATCCTGAGCTCGGCGCGGCCACCATCCATTCCTGGAAGCTTCCTCGCTCGCACACTGTGGGATCGAGGTGTGCGGTGTCGAGGCCGTCGGGTTATGGGGCTGACCTGCGGACGTCTACTAATTCAGCAGTTTCTAAGCCCGTGGGTCATGGGGCTGACCCGAGGAGGGCTCACCTGAGGAGGGCGGAGCTGAGGAGGGCGGACTTGAGGAGGTCTGCCAACTCCATGGTTTCCAAGTCCGCGGGAGACGGGGCTGATCTGAAAGCCAAGTACCTGGAGCTCCGGCAGATGTACTGCCAGCAGCCGCAGCAGAATTTCCAGCACTGGGAACAGGGACAGATGCTGCACCAGCAGCAGCAGGGGCAGCAGCCACGGCACCTGCAGCAGCAGCAGCAGCAGCAGGCATTCCATTCCCATTCCCAGTCACCCCACTCGGCATGGTGGTACTCCATGGGAGGTGGAGGAGGTGGAGGAGGAGGCGGCCAGGAGTTCCACTCCCAGCAGCAGCTGCAGTTTCCAGCTCGCACCTTGTCCCATACCCACTCGTTTCAATCACGCTCGCTGCAGCCACGCCCTGCAGCGCTCCCCTTGGAAAGGACCCACAGTGTTCCCTCAGATGCCTTCCTCCAATCAGCTCTCTTCCCAGCATCCCTCAGCAGCCAATCAGATCAGCCGAGTGTTGCGACCAGCAGTGGCAGCAGTTACAGTGCCGCTGCCAGCCCGGGTTCGTTCTTCTTCCCCAGGTCCCCGTCTGTCTGGACCGATGTCTCGGAGTCGCCGGCTCCTGGGCTACAGCTGAGCTACAGCCTCCCGTACAGTGTGATTCCATACAGTGCAACGCCGTTACAAAGAGGAAGCGGTGTAACTGGCGTTACAGGTGCGAAGGTGGCTCAGAACAAGAATCTGGGGAGAATGACTGAGGGGGAGGACTTCTGGCTGAGCTACTACTTGCAAGGTGTGGAATCGTCGAAAGAACAATCATCGACAAATGGGCACGCTGGTTACGGTGGCTTGGATTTGAAGCAGACGCAGCTGTGCAGCCAGGGAATGCTTGATGATGATGATTCCCCCCCGCCTGGGCCATTGAGGACCCTGTCTTGGTCAGAGTTGGCTCGTCAGCTTCAGGAGTGCCAAGCCAATGCGAATGGGTCTAGGCTTAGCCCAGGTGATGTATTGCGGATGGTGGTGGCAAGGCAAGAAATAAAGGGTAAGGTGTAATCGGTCAAGAAGAACGCAGGTTGTGTTATGTGATGTGCTGTACATATTATCATATGCTAATGCATCAATACAAAAAACAGATTTTAGGGGATATTTCTTTCCTTTTTAGGCTTATACTCCAGCAGCATTGTTTACTCGTACACTAGCTTATACCCTCGTGGCAATAGCGCGTACAATCAATGCATGTGGGTGTGCCAAATTGGCCCTCGGTAGCTGCCCAATGAGCATCTCGCGATTTCGGCAATCCCAAGGTGTAGGAAGTCCAAAAGCAGCAGATTCTGATCTCAAGGTGCGTCCGATCCCTGACACTCGTCGTAGACGCGCTGAGAACCGAGCAGGCTCTGACTGACGCAAACCAGACCAGACTCATAGGAAATTAGACCGAATGCTATCGTAGATGCGTCTCTAATATCCTGCCATTCCGCGTCAGGTTTTGCCGCCGCCATGTCGCCGCTACGAAGAGTCGTCGGCATTGCCGGCCTGCTAGCCGTCATAATAGTCGCTTACGTTCTCGGCCGGCCGGTATACTGGAGCTTGGAAGGCCGGTGGAGGGATTTTCGAGAATCGCAAGCTGACGAAGCGACCAATGCGGACCAGCAAGGTATGGAGGATAGCTGAATTTATGCCGTCTCTAAGAAAAGGCATTTTCTAGACTCGCAGGTGAGTAACACGCGAGCACCCTGGACCAGCAAGGTATATAGGGTTTCTGAATGTCGGTTTTTTAACGGAGGTATGCTAGCCTAACGCCTAGCTCCGTTTCGTTATTTTCAGGAGATTTCCTGCATGGTGCGCTTGATTAGCTGTTCGGTTTTGGAGGTGATTTTTGAGTCGATTTTTGAGGCGCCTCAAAAATAGACTCCTCACGGAGGTGATTTTTGAGTCGATTTTTGAGGCGCCTCAAAAAAAGATTCCTCACGGAGGTGATTTTTGAGTCGACTCAAAGATTTCCTGCATAGTGCGCTTGATTAGCTGTTCGGTTTTGCTGCACGGTACGCATTTTCGGCCATTGTAGTCCCACGGGCCTACTCTTTCTAGCAAATCTGTTTTCACACGAAATGTCGACGCTGTTGTTCGTCGCCTTGCCATGATTGCAGCTTCTACACCAGGCACCAGTGAAAGCAGCAGCAGCAGCAGCAGCAACAACATTGTATTTGCTTCTAACAAGCTGCGTCCAGCCTCCTTTTCAACACCAGAAACAGAAGGCGGCCGAAACGAAGCTGCATCAGCAGCATCGGCAGCATCAGGATTGTCCGAATCATCAACAGCAGCATCAGAAGCAGAAGTAGGGGAAGGGATATCTGGAAAAGTGGAGCAGACCCATATGGGAACAGGGGAGGAGGGGGGAGGAGCTCAGACCCAGGAGGACGGCGAGAGGAACAATTTCCTGGCAGCACAGAACCTGGGGGGAAGCAGCAAGGCCCTGAGTAAGAACAACACGGATGTTCCTGGCGATGGCAGCAGCAGCCTGAGCAGCATCGGCAGGAACGGGATGGTCAACGACGCGTCCGCTGCTCTGGCTGCTGCTTCTGACGATGCGATAAAGGCTGTTTCAGCAGCCTCTGTAACAGCCAGTGCCGCTGGTGGCGAAACGTCTGAAGCAGGTTCCGAAGAAGCCAGTGCTGGTGCTGGTGGTGGTGAAACTTTCGCTCGGGGGGTTCGGCCAATCATACACGAGGGGCGGCCGTTGATTCCGGAGCTGAAGCGGCCCATCTGGGAGAAACCGCCGCCCGGTGGGAAGGTTCCGGGAAAGGAGGAGTTTGCGCTGCGCCGGGAGATGGTGGAGTTTAGGGCGGAGGGGAACGTTGTGGTGGTGACGTTCGCCAACCATGCTTTCATGGACTTCGTGATCAACTGGGTGAAACACCTGACAGATCTGGGAGTGAATAACATCCTGATAGGTGAGGCGGAGTGAAAAGGGGTGAGAAGGGAGTCCCTGTGTTCGACCTGGAGAGCGGCATGAGCCCCGAGGACAGGGGTCGGTTGGGGCTAATGCAGTGCCGGTTGTGTCTCCCCTTCCTCCCTTTCCCAGGCGCCATCGACCCTGTCATTATAACGTCTCTCTACCAGGGGGACGTGCCTGTGTTCGACCTGGAGAGCGGCAGGAGCCCCGAGGACAGTGGGTGGGGCCAATGCAAGCAATGTGTCTCTCTTCCCCTCCCCAGGCGCCATGGACACTATGATCCTCACTGCATTGTACAACGAGGGAGTCCCTGTGTTTGACCTGGAGAGCGGCATGAGCCCCGAGGACAGCGGGTGGGGCACGCCGGTGTTCCATGCCATGGGGCGGGAGAAGGTGACTCTGGTCAACGTGTTCCTGGCGATGGGCGTAGAGCTGCTCATATGCGACACCGACACTGTGTGGCTCCGGGTACGTTGGCTGTAGGAGTATGCAGTCATTGTGTAGGTGGTAGTGTGGAGGATAGCGGGTTGGTGGGTGGGGCACGCCGGTGTTTAATGCCATGGGGCGGGAAAAGGTGACTCTGGTCAACGTGTTCCTGGCGATGGGCGTAGAGCTGCTCATATGCGACACCGACACTGTGTGGCTCCGGGTACGGTGGCTGCAGGAGCATTCAGTGGTTGGCTAGGTGGTAGAGTGCAGAGGTGACTTTTGAGTCGACTCAAGAGTGCAGGAAAGCTATTTGAGTCGACTAAAAAATCATTCAGTCGTTGGCGAGGTGGCAGAGTGCAGGAAAGCGGGTGGGGCACGCTAGTGTTCCACGCCATTGGGTGGGGAGGAGGTGACTCTGGTCAACGTGTTCCTTGCGATGGGAGTAGAGCTGCTCATCTGCGACACAGACACCGTGTGGCTCCGAGTGAGAGCAGGGGCTGGGGGTATGACGTGATATGAGGTGAGGCTGAGGGTTGAGGACAGTAAGCAGGGAGAAGGCGACTCTGGTGAACGTGTTCCTAGAGACGGGCGGGGAGCTTGTCATCCGCGACACAGACACCGTGTGGCTCCGGGTGAGATGAAAGCTTGAGCAGGAAAAGGTGCGTGTGCTCTGAGGCTCCTAGGCATCCTGTATCTCTGGTGAAGGTATTCTTAACGATGGGAGTGAGGGAGAGGGAGTGTGGCTCCTCTTGAGAGAGTGAGAGGGTGACTCTAGTGTCCTAGGCTTACTAGGACTCTGGTCAACGTGCTCTTACAGAATTCTGAATGTAACATACCAGTTCCCTGTTCTTTGGCTTCCAGCCAGCCATCCCTTGATTCACTACCCCCCTTAAACCCTTCTTTCCATCTTTCACCCTGTCCCTGTCTGTGTCTTTCAGAACCCTCTGCCCTTCATCGCCCGCTACCCCTCAGCGGACGTGCTCACGTCCAGCGACCATCTCGTCCGTTCTGTGGACGACGAGTCCCTGGAGAAATGGCAGCAAGGTGAGAGCGGTGCAGGAGGGAGTGCGCTGTGCGAAATGGTATGAGGGGTACGAGCATAGCCCACTTTCCCTCAGCGGGCGTGCTCACATCCAGCGACCATCTCGTCCGTTCTGTGGACGACGAGTCCCTGGAGAAGTGGCAGGAACGTGAGATGGGTGCAACAAGGTATGGGGGCATGGATATAAGACGATAATCAGAAGAAAACTGCTGAGCGATAGTGAGGGGGTCCCATTATCGCTGAGCAGCTGTCCTCACGTCCAGCGACCATCTTGTTCGTACTTCTGCCCCACCGAACCGACTCTGTGACTTGACTTGTCCTCCTGCTCCCTGCCTCCTTTCTTCTCTCTCCGCTGCTCCCGACAGCAGTGGAGAGTCTGTTCAGCATCAGAACCCCTCCACTGCCACAGCATATCCCATTATCGTGCTTTTGAGGCGCCTCAAAAGCAGTGGAGAGTCTGTTCAGCAACAGAACCCCTCCACTGCCACAGCATATCCCATCATCTCTCAGCAGTTGCCTGCACATCTGCCCCAGCAGCCAAGGTGTTGGGGCATGAGCACCTCTGCCCCACCGACTCTGTGACTTGTTCCCATACTCCCTGTCTCCTTTCTTTCCCCTCCCACCTTTCCCACTTACCTTCCCCCCTCCCCTCTCGCACAGAGCGCCTGCAACAACAACGGGACATCCTGCACTTTCACCTCTCTGGCCCCGCCTGGCAACACGCATGGGCGGAACTGCTTGCATCTGGACTCCTTCCCCCTCCCCCTTCCCCACCCCCCTAGACAGAGCGCCTACAACATTGGCATCCTGCAGTTCCGCCCCACCAACTCCTTACAGCCCTCCTGTTTTCCTAGTCCCCTGTTCCTCTCTGTGTTCCCGGCCCCCTGCCCACCACCACCACCAGCACCAACCTCAAGCACACAGCACTTACGACATCAGTACCCTGCACGTCTTCATAGAACTAAATCTTATGTAGGTGGCTGATATCGACCCGTCTGTTCTCCTGTCTGCCCGTCCCTCTCTCTATGCGTTCTACCTCCCCTGCCCCCCCAGCACAGAGCGCCTACAACATCGGCATCCTGCACTTCCGCCCCACCAACCCAGCCAAGCAATTAGCACGCGCATGGGCGGAGCGGAGCTGCTAGCGTTTGACCCCAAGATTTGGGACCAGAACGGGTTCAACGACCTCATGCGGAAGCACATGTCTCCACTCCTCTCCTCCCTCTTCCCTTTGTCGTTGCATCCCCTCCCCCTATTCAACTCTTCTATCTGCCTCCCCCTATACCCCCAGCACAGAGCGCCTACGACATCGGCATCCTGCACTTCCGCCCCACCGACCCGGCCAAGAGATTAGCCCTCGCATGGGCGGAGCTGCTAGGATCTGTCGCCAAAATATGGGACCAAAAGGGGTTCAACGACCTAATGAGGAAGCAAGCACATGGGGCTCTCCTCTCCACTCCTCTCCACTCCTCTCCACTCCTCTCCTCTCCTTTCTCTCCCTGTATTTGTTGCAACCCCATCCCCTGTTCAACTCTCTTTCCTGCCTCCCCGCCCCCCCCCCCAGCACAGAGCGCCTACAACATCGGCATCCTGCACTTCCGCTCCACCGACCCCGCCAAGCGGTTAGCACGTGCATGGGCGGAGCTGCTAGCATCTGACGCCAAGATTTGGGACCAGAACGGGTTCAACGACCTCATGAGGAAGCACATGGGGCCGGATGTTTATCCAGAAGCGAAGGACCATGTGTTCTGGGCGTTCGACGGGAGTCTCAAGCTGGGGATACTGCCTGTGTCCATTTTCTGCTCTGGCCACACCTACTTCGTTCAGGTGACTGTCTGTGTTGTGTGTGGTAGGTGACTTGGGGGGCACTGTCAGCAGCTATCCAGTGACACTTGGACGCTGTGGTTCTTAGATTCGAGGGACCGGAACGGGATCAATGACCTCATGTGGAAGCACATGGGGCAGGAGGTGGACCCACACGCCAAGGACGACTCAGCTGCTTCCTCTCTCCCCTCTCCATATCTCTCCCATTTCGCGTCTCCCCTTCCCCCAGCACCTGCATAAGGTTGTGGGCTTAGAACCGTACGCCCTGCATGCCACTTTCCAGTTCGCTGGCACTCCAGGTATGTATGGTGGTCAAGTGAAATTAAACTTAATTAGGTTCGGGAATGCAACTTGATCTATTACGGCTTACATCCTATCCAAATGCACAACACGTTCCATCACGTGGTTATTGCCTGCTCTCGTAACGTTGTCCCCCCATCCACATCCCCCCCCCACACAAGGCAAGCGCCATCGCTTTCGAGAGGCCATGGCATTCTACGACCCGCCAGAGTACTACGACCCGCCAGGTGGCATCATCTCATTCGTCAATGAGATTCCCGAGGATCTTCTGAGAGGCGGCAATCACACTCTCCTAACACACTTCCGCCTCGTGAACCACCAGCTGAAAGGCATTCGGGCTGCTCTCGCTATCGCCACCATCCTCAACAGAACCCTGGTGAGTCAACTCATTCAACTCCAGTCAAGGTAAGTCAAGCAGGTCAAAGATGTTGCTATCAGGTGGCAATCACACTCTCCTAACGCACTTCGCCTCGTGAACCACCAGCTGAAAGGCATCCGGGCTGCTCTGGCTATCGCCACCATCCTCATCCGAACCCTCGTGAGTCAACTCAAGTCAACTCCAGTCAAGCAGCATAAAAGGTAAGTCAAGCAATCACAATCTTTTAAGTCAACTCCTGTCAAACCGCAGGGCAAAGGTGTTGCTATAGGGCGGCAATCACACTTTTAGCGCACTTCCGTCTTGTGAGCCACCAGCTGACGAGCATCCGAACTGCTCTAGCTTTTGCCACCATCTTCAACCGAACCCTTGTGAGTCAACTCAAGTCAACTCCAGTCTAGCCACGTCAAAGGTAAGTCAAGGGAGGTCAGAGGTGTGCCTGGAGCTGCTGAGAGGTGGTAATCACACACTCTCCATGCACTTCCACCTCGTGAACCACCAGCTGAAGGGCATTCGAGCTGCTCTGGCTAGCGCCACCATCCTCAACTCAACCCTCGAAAGCTCTGACTTAGGTCAACTTAAATCAACCAAGTCAAAGGTAAGTCAAGGCAAGTCAAAGATGGGCCTGGTGCTGCTTTCAGGCAACAATCACACCATCTCCACTCCTCGCACTCCGGCCTTGATAACCACCAACTGAAGAGCATCTCCACTGGCCATCCTCGACCGAACCCTGGTAAGGTTAGCCGTGAGAGTCCGGTCAAGGTAAGTCAACGCAAGTGAAGGGTGTGTCTGCTGTGTCTGGTGCTGCTATCAGGCGACAATCACACCCTCTCTACGCACGTCCGCCTCGTGAACCACCAGCTGACGAGCATTCTGGCTGCTCAGGCGTCTGGCGTCTGGCCTCTGGCCTCTGGCGTCTGGCCTCTGGCGTCTGGCCTCTGGCCTCTGGCCTCTGACCTCTGGCGTCTGGCCTCTGGAGTCTGGCCTCTGGCGTCTGGCGTCTGGCCTCTGGCGTCTGGCCTCTGGCCTCTGGCCTCTGGCCTCTGGCATCTGGCCTCTGGCATCTGGCCTCTGGCCTCTAGCCTCTGGCCTCTGGCCTATGGCCTCTGGCCTCTAGCGTCTGGCCTCTGGCCTCTGGCCTCTGGCCTCTGGCCTCTGACCTCTGGCCTCTGGCCTCTGGCGTCTGGCCTCTGGATTCTGGCCTCTGGCGTCTGGCGTCTGGCGTCTGGCCTCTGGCATCTGGCCTCTGGCCTCTGGCCTCTGGCATCTGGCCTCTGGCCTCTGGCCTCTGGCCTCTGGCATCTGGCCTCTGGCCTCTGGCCTCTGGCCTCTGGCCTCTGGCGTCTGGCCTCTGGCGTCTGGCGTCTGGCCTCTGGCCTCTGACCTCTGGCCTCTGGCCTCTGGCGTCTGGCCTCTGGAGTCAGGCCACTGGCGTCTGGCGTCTGGCCTCTGGCTTCAGGCCTCTGGCCTCTGGCCTCTGCCCTCTGCCCTCTGCCCTCTGGCATCTGGCCGCTGGCCTCTGGCGTCTGGCCTCTGGCCTCTGGCCTCCGGCGTTTGGCCTGTGGCCTCTGCCCTCTGCCCTCTGGCGTCTGGCCTCTGGCCTCTGGCATCTGGCCTCTGGCCTTTGGCCTCTGGCCTCTGGCATCTGGCCTCTGGCCTCTGGCCTCTGGCCTCTGGCCTCTGGCCTCTGGCCTCTGGCCTCTGGCCTCTGGCGTCTGGCGTCTGGCGTCTGGCGTCTGGCCTCTGGCCTCCTGCGTTTGGCCTCTGGCCTCTGGCCTCTGCCCTCTGGCATCTGGCATCTGGCCTCTGGCCTCTGGCCGCTGGCGTCTGGCCTCTGCCGTCTGGCCTATGGCGTCTGGCCTCTGGCCTCCGGCGTTTGGCCTCTGGCCTCTGGCCTGCCCCCTCTGGCATCTGGCCTCTGGCCTCTGGCATCTGGCCTCTGGCATCTGGCCTCTGGCCTCTGGCGTCTGGCGTCTGGCCTCTGGCGTCTGGCGTCTGGCGTCTGGCGTCTGGCCTCTGGCGTCTGGCCTCGGGCCTCTGGCGTCTGGCCTCTGGCCTCTGGCCTCTTGCGTCTGGCCTCTGGCCTCTGGCATCGGGCCTCTGGCCTCCGGCCTCGGGCCTCCGGCCTCCGGCCTTCGGGCTGGGGTCTCCGCGCTCTGAGCTTTGGCCTCTGGGCTGGGCTTGGCTTTGTTGGGCCGGGCCATGAGCACTTTCCCCTATCTCAAATCAGGGGCGCTGACATGTGTGTGTGTGTGGGGGGGGATGTGTGTGTTTGTATTTACATGTGCATGCACCCACCACTGCACATCTGCATCCATTCACCCACCACACATGTGCATGTGCGTGTACGTCCATCCACCCCCCACCAGGTCATGCCGAGCACGTGGGCACGCTTCGATCGCATCTGGTACCCCCATAAAGGCATCCTCGATAACACTGCAACACCACAGCCGTTCCTCTGCCCACTCGACCATATCCTCAATGTGAAGTCTCTTTACACTTGTCCATATGTATACATTTGTCTACACTCGCCCTTATCCTCAATCATCAACGTACAATCGCTCTGCACTTTTAGCTTAGATACCATTCCTTACCTTACCATACCATACCACACCAAACCACTCCACACCATACCATATCATACAATACCATAACATACTGTACCATACCATACCACACTATACTTTACCGTACCATACCATACTGTACCATGCCAAACCATGCCATACAGTGCCACATCACCTTGCCTGTCCACCCTCCCCACCGTCCTTCCACCCCCTAAACCAAGCTCCTCCCTTCTTCCCACACAGGTGGACAGGATGCTTCCCGGAAAGCTCCCAGAAGAGGAGTTTGGACCAGCCGTGCCCTTTCGAGAGTATTCTTTCCTTGACAACCCTCGCGTGCCGAAGGATGTAAGCTGTGTAGCAATAACAAGCTCAGCCAGATATAGCAGCCAGTGCTATTTTGGGAGTAATATTTTCTGTGCAACCCTCGTCTACAAACGAGGTTAGCTTGCCACTGTATTATCCTGTGCTATTTATAGCAAGTCTTCTGTGCAGCAGTGCCTATTAGTGAGCACTCTTCCCTTGACAGCTCGTGCTTTGCCGTAGGCAGTGGGCCCTGTAACTAACTTGCAAGCCCGCCCCAAACCATCTCGCCCCCCACCCTTCCCTCCTCTCCCCCCCCACGTGCTGCTGTCCAAGCTCCCAGAGCGGCTCTGAAGAAGTGTCCCATCAAGAAGTGTCTGTTGTCTGCTCGTCCATCCCCCCTTCCCTGTCCGCCCTCCCTTGTTCCCCCAGCTCCGAGCATCCAAGCTCTCAGTGCGCCTCTGCAACAGCACCTCTCCCGATTGCCCTGCTGAAACGGACACTCAGAACTTGCCAGCTGATACTCACACTGGCACGCTGGTGTTGAGGAGAGGGATGCGAGAGAAGCAGGTATGAGCTGCTGCCACTCCACAGGCAGAACATGCCATGACTCACCAGAAAGATTTTCCTTCTAACAAGCCTCCTCTGCTGCTCCTGACACGGCTCCTCTTTCACTATTTCTGTTTTTCCCTGGTATCCATGTGCGTCAGTCTTATTCTTTCTCTTCCTCCCCTTTCCAAATTCGCTGCCTGCTGTGTGATCGTTCATGAGTCGCCTTGCAGATAAGGGAGACATTTGAAGGGTATTCTCTAGTGAAGTGGATCGAATTCAGTTCCATGGAGGGCGTGTTCGGTGGATGGGATGACAAGGTGAGAGATAGTGGGATGAGGGGAGTTTTGGAAAGAGTATATTGGCAGGGACTGCGTGATGTTTGAAATGACACGGTAAGAGCACATGATTGATTCTAGGCAACTGGGGCAGCTGTTGTATTTTAGCCCACCTTCGTTTCCTCACATTTACTTCGCCTTCAGGAGCTTGAGAAGAAATTCAGATGGAGACTGCGGCATTACACTGGCATATGGTGTTGTGTCCACGCGCATCCAGGTAACCAACACCTCGTGTTATGTAATGCGCATGATGGCGTGCATGTATTTTATTGGAAGATTGTGGGCTGGTGCCGACCCAATGCTAGCTTGCCTGCAAAGCTCAAGCACCCTTTTTGTGCATGCACATTCTTGTCAGGTCACATTTACTACAACTTCTTTTGGGATGAGGTGCCTAATTGGAAACCAAGGCCTCCTGAAAATGCATCAGAAGACCATCCTGCATGGGAATAGCTGTTTTTTCCTCTGCGTGTGAAGTTCTAAAAGTGGTTCATCGACCTTAGAGAGGGCATACATATGCACTTTTAATATATGTACTCACGCATTGTCCAAGAAGAGTTGCTGTGGATCACGTACGGGACACTCACAAACGAGAATGATCACGGCAGGGAACTGTCAGCCTGTTTTGGCGCCAAAAGCAGGAGCCTCCAATCTCAAAATGAGGCAGATCTCCCCTCGGGACTCCCGAACCATCAAAACCAGATGGTCTGATGTCATCGCGCTTCACTCCGCCTTATCTCTCTTAAACCCTCTAAAACCTGTTGTACCGCGTCCGTATTCTTTTCTCTCCAAACCCAGTTTCCCCCTGATCACCTTCGTCGTCCTCATCTCTTCAGTATGAGCTATCCGAATTTCCTCAGACTCTAGTTCTCATCCTCAGTTTTGCTCCGTGGCATCGGCCTCTCAGTGCCACTGCAAAAAAGGAGGGTCTACGTATTTCGGTGCTAATTTTTGTAGGGGGTCTACCTGCATTTCATTCATATACGATAGATCACCATCCCGATATGAAGGTCAACGTGTTTTCGCGATCTGGAAAGGAGATCGTCAAAGGCGGCCTTCAACTTCCCGACGAGGTACCTCGCACTTTGGAGGGTTCTTAAAAACAGTCCGCACTTCTTATCCTACACTTACAATAACACCTGCACGTGTACCTATTCTCCAGCATCTCGCGTGTAGCACATCAGATTGACCTGTAAGCAGACCTGCAATATCTCAGCTCATCTCGTTTCCGTGCGTGTCGTCTCTCTGCAGGCCTCCGTAGCAGATCTCCAGAAAGCCCTTCACAAAACGAGTAAGTAGCTGCATTTCGAATTCCGAGACCATGCTACCCTACAACGACCGTGATTCGTTCTAACTGACCTCTGAAACTACCCTGCATTTCCGCAGATAAAAAGTGGTACCCGGCAAGACAGCGATTCACTCTGCCAGCGCCGGCATCAGGAGCCAAGCCAGTAGTTCTGGACGCCAAAAAGCGGCTCGCGGATTACTCCACAGGAACGACGCTGGACGTGGTCTTTAAGGACCTCGGTCCCCAGATCGGCTTTAAGACTGTGTTCTTCTGGGAGTACTTCGGCCCGTTGGTCCTCTACTCGCTCTTCTACTTCTTCCCGCAAGTGTTCTACGTGGATGCTCCCAAGAGGGTGAGCGCGTCTTGTTACTTGCATCAATTCATCACTCTCATGCGCTTCATGATTTTGAAGCGCTTCCTCATTTTTCAGGGCTTCGATCCTCCATGATTTCTCAAATCCCTCTGCTCCGTCTCTGTATTCGGTCGGTGTTTTTTTGCTGTCCTGACAAGTTCCGGTTTTATCTTACCGCGATGCCTCCCTGCAGAAGCTTAAAGATGTCCAGACTTACGCGCTCATCTATTGGACATTCCACTACACGAAGCGCATCCTCGAGACGTTTTTCGTCCACCGGTTCAGCCACGGCACCATGCCGCTTCAGAACCTCTTCCGTAACTGCGGTTACTACTGGACTTTCGCAGCGTTCGTCTCGTTCTTCGTGAACCACCCGCTGTACACGCCCGTCAGCGACACCCAGATCAAGATCGGATTCGGCATCGCTATTGTCAACCAGCTCTCCAACCTCTACTGTCACATCATTTTGAGGAACTTGAGGTCAGTGCAAGTAACTTCAGTGGCATAATAATTCCAATGTAGGGAGACGTCCCCTTTGGTGCGGTACCTTCACTTGACATGCGACTTGAACTTTTCTTAAGGTTCCTGCTCGTCGCGTGATCCTACCACACCACGGAGATCTTGCCTTTGAAACGTGTTGATTCGCGTTTCCTAAAACCAGACTCGCGCGAATGCGGGCCACCAGGTCCCCAAGGGGTTGGCGTTTCATTGCATACCGATTCGCGCCAAGGGCTTGGCTGTCCGGCCAACTGCATTGCATCCCGATTTCAACTCCTCCCATTCCCAATCTCTCCCGCAGGTCCAGAGCGAACTCGGGCTACCAGATCCCCACGGGCTTACTGTTTGTCATGTGCGCCAGCTACGTAACTGAGATCACTCCCATGAAGCACCTAAACCAATCAGTACCACTTTTACTCCGCGTTTCCTCCCGCAGGTCCGACGCGAGTGCGGGGTACCAGATCCCCAAGGGCTTCCTGTTCAACTTCATCACGTGCGCCAACTACACGACGGAGATCACGGCGTGGCTGGGGTTCAACATCGCCACGCAGTCCGTCGCCGGCTACCTCTTCATGCTCGCCGGCGCCATGCAGATGGCCGAGTGGGCCCTCGCCAAGCACAAGCGCCTCGTCAAGGTGAGAGAAGAGGAAGGTGGGGAGTTGAAAGGAAGGGGTGGGAGTGGGACAGAGTGTGAGGGAGAGAGAGTTCCTCTTCATGCTCGCCGAGGCCCTGCAGATGGCCGAGTGGGCCCTCGCCAAGCACAAGCGCCTCGTCATGGTGAGCCCTCTCTTCCCCCTCCCCTTGTCTCCCTCTCCTTCCCCCCCTTTCCCCCTTTCCCCCCTTCCCCGCCCCCACCCCTCTATGTAGCCCATAATCTCTCACCCTGCTGTATTGGGCTTTAAGGGAGAACTGGGCTGGTCCGGTGTTGGGAACTGCATGGATGATGCGTTGACAATGCAATGCTTTGTCCTGAGTCTGCCGCGGGTAACACCTGCTGGTCAGAGTGAAGCCATCGACTTATGTCACTGACATGCAGCCTTCAGGGACTTGCTATTCTGGGACGTGGTTTACGTGAGCTGAGAGTGCTTTTGAGGCGCCTCTAAAGCACTTTTCTGGGACGTGGTTTACTTTCTTTTCTCTCTCGCTCTCTCTATTAGGGTGGTAAGGTTTGCTCTACACTGCTTGTTGTCAGTCTCTCCATGGCGTGTAAGGCTTGTGTACATCAGGCCTGCAAACCCTCAGAAACCGGGTGGTCTTGGTGTTCTTGGGGGTCAAGGGGGAAATGTGGGTGTGTTCGGGGATTGAGGGCTGCATGGATGATGCGTTGACAATGCAATGCTTTGTCCTGAGTCTGCCGTGGGTAACACCTGCTGGTCAGAGTGAAGCCATCTACTTATGTCACTGACATGCAGCCTCTGGGAAATCGTCGCTTGAAATGCTATTCTGCTTCCTTCTGAGATGGCTTTTGAGTCAACTCAAAAGTGATTTTGAAGTGCTTCTGAGCTTCCTTCTGTAACTCTTGTTGTTGAGGTTTGCTCTTCACCTGCTGGTCAGAACCATATGCTCTCGATGTTCTTGCGGATCAAGGGAGGGACCGGGGTGGTTGGGTTCCAAGTGGGCTAGCGGGTTAGGTGTTGAGGGGTGCATGGATGATGGATTGACAATGCAATGCTTTGTCCTGAGTCTGCCGTGGGTATCACCTGCTGGTCAGAGTGAAGTCATCCACTTATGTCACTGACATGCAGCCTCTGGGGAGTCCTAGCATGGAGTGTATATTGCTTTCTGCATCTTTGGGTTGCCACGTATTGTTTTGTAAAAATCTCTGCTTTGTGCGTTGGACTCTCAAGAAGCAGATGCTAATGAGTCTCCTGTATCGGGGTGGGTGTTGGGGGTTCTAAGGCTGCTCAAGATCTTGACGGGGGTTGCTGTTGTGGTTCTTGAGGCGTGCATGGATGATGCGTTGACAATGCAATGCTTTGTCCTGAGTCTGCCACGGGTAACACCTGCTGGTTGGAGTGAAGCCATCCACTTATGTCACTGACATGCAGCCCTCAGTTCCTTAGCTTAAGACTGCCCAATTATTTTCTTTGGGTGGTGATGACGGCTCTGCTTTGAACTGTCGGTGAAGAGTGTGCCCTTGTGAGTTGGGATTCGCTCAAAGCCATCGTGCCTTCGAACGCTTCGATGGGCCTTACCATACCATACCATACCACACCACACCACACCACACATGGCAGAGAGCATTCTGAATTCGGTGCAATGATTTCCTGTCCATGTCAAATCATCTCGTTCATCCCATGCTGCATGCTTGTTGGTCTCACGTCCCACTTTAATCAACCAGTCGCTCCACTTCTGTGTGTGTCCCCTTCAACCCCCTCCAACCCCCTTCAACCCCTTCAACCCTCCCACACTCGCGCAGCTCTTTGATGGCAAGGAAGGTCGTCCCAAGTACCCTAGGCGCTGGATCATGCTCCCACCCATCTTCTAAGCACACCTGTCTTTCAAGCGCAAGCTTCTAAGCGTGTTCTTCTAAGCACACGCTTCGAAGTGCGTGCTTTAAGTGCACACCCACCATTTGAAGTTCAGAATAGGGTATGGTAGCTCCTCCAGTGCTGCATTGGCTGGTAAAGTCAAGCATGCAGGGTAACCCACAGTAGAAAAAAGGTAGTTTGGCACCGAGTTTGTGCATCCCATACTACCGTTGGTTTAACTTGACATTGGTTTTACATCTGTAGCTGACATTGCACTTACAGATTGCTGTACATGAGCTGACTTTACATCCATCTGACTGACAGATTGCTGTCCATGAACCCTCCATCCACCTCCTCTACACTCCTTTACCAAGCTTACTCCGCTGCCATCTTACTTTCCCCCTCCACCTCTTCTCCTACCTCCTCCCCGCCCTCCTCTACATACTCGTAAATGCTTGATCGTCCGGTGCACCCACTACTTTCCCAAGCCTAGTCCACCTCCTCCATCTTACTCTCCCCCTCCACCACTCCTGCCGCCTCCACACCTTCCTCCTCCTCCACACTCTCGTCAATGCTTAGCCCAAGGCTGATCATCCTGTGAACCCGTCCCGCCAGGGCCTGAGACTCGTCCAGAGAGAACCCCGAGGTGAGCAGAGCAGTTTCAAACAGCAGGAACACCAGGTCGCGCACGGTCTTGTCCGACTTATCCGCCTCGATCCTCCTCTTGAGTTCCTTGATAACACAGTTGTGGGGGTTGATCTCCATAGTCTTCTTGCTTGCCATGTACTGCGACATGCTGTTGTCTCTTAAAGCCTGGGCGCGCATGATCCGCTCCATGTTGGCCGTCCAGCCGTACTCGCCCGTGACTAAAACGCAGGGTGATTCCACGATACGCTCGCCTACAGTCACCTTCTCGACCCTGTCGCCCAGCATGTCCTTCATCGCCTTGCAGGTGGCCGTGAATTCCTTTTTCAGCTCCTCGAAATGCTTCTTCTCATCCTCGGATTCGTTCAGCTTCAAACTGCACACAACAAAGAGGAAAGCAGCAGAAATGATATAATAAAGGGAGAGAAACAGAAACGCAGCGATGGATCAGTAAGAACGTTTTTTAACCGATCAGAACAAGGAGGCAGAGTGAGCCAATCAGGGCGAGCCTGGAGCTTCTAAGACATCATAAGGGACGGAAGAGAACCAATCAAGGTCAGGCCACATTATCCCAGAAAAGGGGCAGAGCAGAGCACTTACCCTTCCTTGGTGGCCGAAACAAGCTTCTTCCCATCAAACTCCTTGAGCTGCTGAACCATGTACTCGTCGATGGGGTCCACCAGGAACAGCACCTCCAGCCCCCGCTTCTTGAGCTTCTCAAGGAACGGAGAGCCCTCCACCGCCCGCCGGCTCTCCCCCGTGATGTAGTAAATGCTGCTCTGCCCGTCTGTCATCCGGGTAACATAGTCCTTTAGACTCGTCATTTCGTCGCCCGCTTTGGTGGAGTGGAACCGCAGGAGTTCGGCCAGCTTCGCCCGGTTTTGTGAGTCTTCGTACACGCCCAGCTTGATGCTCTTGCTGAACGCCTCATAGAACTTGTTGTAGTCGTCCTTGTTCTCGGCGAGCTCTGTAAACATCTCGAGGCTCTTCTTAACGAGGTTTTTCCGGATCACCCTGAGGATCTTATTCTGCTGGAGCATCTCCCGGGAGACATTCAACGGCAGGTCTTCAGAGTCAACCAGTCCCTTCACGAAGGAGAGGTATTCTGGCATGAGCTCCTCGCAGTCGTCGGAGATAAACACGCGGCGGACATACAGCTTCACGTTCCTCTGCTTCTTCTGCCGCCCCTCGAACAGGTCGAACGGCGCGCGCTTCGGCACGAAGAGCAGGGCTTTAAACTCCAGCTGCCCCTCCACTGAGAAGTGCTTCACGGCCAGGTGCTCCTCCCAGTCGTTAGTCAGGCTCTTGTAGAAAGCCGCGTACGCCTCCTTGGTGACTTCCTCGGGGTTGCGCAGCCAGATGGGCTTCTGCTTGTTGAGCTGCTGCCACTCGTGCGTCACTTCCTTCACCTTCTTCGTCTTCCTCGTCTTCTTATTCTTGCTCTTGTCGCCCTTCTCGTCTTCAACCTCCTCCATCTTCCCCTCCTCCTCTCCCTCAGCAACTGCTTCTTGGTCTTCCTCCTCCTCCTCGTCCTCCTCCTCCTCCACCTCCCTATTCACTGTCTTCTCCACCCACAGGTTGATCGGGTAGTTGATAAACTCCGAGTGCCTCTTAACTACGTCTTTAATCCGCCGCTCCTCCAGGTACTCCAGCTGGTCGTCCTTAAGATGCAGCGTGATCTTCGTGCCGCGTCCCAGCCTCTCGCCGTCCGCGTCGCGGCGAATCGTGAACGACCCCCCGGCCTGCGACTCCCAAACGTATTGCTCGTCATCGTTATGCTTGCTGGTTACCACCACCTTATCCGAAACCAAATACGCCGCGTAGAATCCCACGCCGAATTGCCCGATCATGCTGACGTCACCGCTGCCGGATTCCAACGCCTCCATAAACTCCTTGGTCCCCGAGCGCGCGATCGTCCCGAGGTTGTTCACCAGATCGGCTTTCGTCATCCCGACGCCGCTGTCGACGATGCTGAGGGTCTTGCTTGTCTTGTCCGGCACGAGGCGGATGAACAGTTCCGGCTGCGATGCGAGCGCGGTCTTGTCGGTTAGTGAGGCGAATCGGATCTTGTCGAGGGCGTCGGACGAGTTGCTGATGAGCTCGCGGAGGAAAATCTCCTTGTTACTGTAGAAGGTGTTGATGATGAGACTCAGCAGCTGCAAGTAGCGCAGAAGCATAAGAACGAGAGAAGGTGAGGCAAAATGAGGGATGTCGGCGGGAGCACGGAACAGCCACTGGCTGGAAAAATTTCCCACAGGGAAAGTGGTGGAACAAACGTTGCGGAGTCACTGCATCTGTCAGCAAACTGGAGTTCGCGTCTGAGATAGAAAATGATAATCAGAAAGAGGTTGTGCAAAGCGTACCTGATTGATTTCTGCCTGGAATGCGAAGGTCTCCTTTTCTTCACCCGCGGAGCATTTGGTGTTGACCTCCTGAGCCGGGGGCACATCCATTGGAGCGCCCGTAGCATTCACGACCTCTGTCACCGCCATAGTCTCGAGAATGAGTTTGATGTCGCGAAAAGGCGAACTGATAACGAGTTGATTGAAGAGAACGTCGTGAGCTTGCAGAATTGGAGAGCTTGAGGAGAGAGCGCGTTGTGAGATTCTGATTGCTGGTTAGAATGGTCGCGATTCGCGAATGGGTTTTATAGGCGCAGCTCTTCCAGATTGAATATGGCCCCTGGCTTGGACATTGGTTTGGAGATGGAGATTTGCGAAGCGCGGAACATTCTAGTAATGCGAATGCCCGTACCGCCCAACCCGTGGAGGTCGTTTCACGAAGCATCTGAACGTTCGCGAAAAATCCTACGGCATCCGAAGTGCATACGGAATCGACAGGTGGTTCTTGGTCCTTCGCAACGATACAATCCGACGCCTGGATGCTCATGTCGCGAACGGAATTACCGCCAACGAAGGCACGAGAATTTACGAATGGATGCATCCAGACCATTCGTCAAGTGCATGGTCTTGGTAATGAAACTATTGCCAGAGGCCAATGGTAACTGGATAGCCAATTGTCGAAATCTAAAGCCTCTTTCAGGTGTTACATACTCGTTCTGTAGGAAAAGCACATCCTTACGCATCAATGTGACAAAAGGGTGATGTATTAACATATATTGTTTCGCGTGCTGCAGGACGTGCACGACCATGCAAAAATAGGAGGCAATAAATCAATGGTGCGTGCTGCTATGGGGGCATGGCGGGCTAATTCAAGAATGCTAGTACTGCGTCAAGACGACACAGAGGTGACTACGGCTGGGGGAGTAGACGGAACTCCAGCAGCAGTTAGTGGAGGAGGGGGCAGGGCAAAGGCGGCCGCTGATTGGCTGGCGGTTGCCCACCTCCTGGGAATATTTACACTCATGTGCTGCCCGGAAAAGCCCGTGCGTGCAGAAGGGTGATTCAAACGAAATTGCTTCCTCGTTTCGAGCGCCTCGTTCCCGTTTCCGTCAGTCCTGACGTCGCCCGGCAGCCCCTCGTCAGCGAAGCGAACCCGCCGGACATGTGAACGGGCCGAGGGCTGCTCCCAACCAGACGATGCCGTTTTAGGAAAAGCGGACGGACGAGATCCGATTGTTGCACTAGAAGAATGGGAAAACGGAAATATGGGCCCAGACTGCGTTGAATCTGCTGTGAGAAAAGATCGCGGAATCGAAGCCGACGCGGATGGGTTGATGGGGCCAGACATGTAGCTGCGGGACGCAGCTTCCAAACCGGTGTCGATGGGATTCGAAACCGCGACTGGCGATCGGCGGTACAGCGCCTTATGGGCTTCAGAAAACGGCTGCGAAGCGGAACCGCTTCGCTGGGTCGCTGAACGAGTACCGGTAGTCGCACGTGCGACGGGAGCAGCGCCGCATGTGTCGCGTGAAAGAGCCGCGAGGGGAGTCGCCGCTTTCGCAGGAAGTACGCTCGTCGTGCGGAACGACGCGGGAAGCGATGCGGAAGGTTCCAGCGGGCTGGGGAGCAAGTTTCCGCGGGCCCCGCGGGAGAAGGAGAGCGGGATGCACGCCGCAGATCGCTCGATCGGTCCCGACACGGCTCGTCGGCTCAGCTCGTCCGGCGTGTTGCGACGAGAGGAGGAACTGGCGGCGGAGTGACCCAAAGAGTACGCGGAAGAGTAACCGAAGGCGGCGGACGAGTAACCAGAGGAATGACTGGAAGAGTAAGCAGATGTCGCAGATGTCGCAGGAGTCGCAGGCTCCGCAAGAGCGCGGAACGTCGCTGAGTCCACCTGGAGGTATGGTAGATGCTCCGGCTGCTCGGCTGGAAGCTGTCCCGCGTGCTGATGCTTTCGACCCATGCTGTTCTTTACTCACTGGGGGAGGAACTATCTGTTTCACGATGCCGCGTTGAATGATAAGTGAGTGGAGAGACGCGAAATGAGCTTGGAGAAAGCCTACTATTGCGTAGAGTTTAGGGCACGTGAAGTTCTACTTCAGGTCCAAGAAGGCCAGGAGATGCGATGCAGGCAGCAAAATGCGGGGGGGAACTATCCCACACTCGTGAGAGGGTGGAAGAGAGAGTGAAACTGGCAATGACAGAAGTCAACAGTCAAACCGATCGATCAACGACCCTCCTAATCCGTGTCGGACTCAAGAAGGTGGGTCACAGGACTTCCTGCCTCGTGACTCGAGATATTTGGCTTGGGGGAAGAGAAGAATGGCAAAATAGCAGCAGTAGGAAGGAAGCAGCAGGCAAACTGCAGGGGTGGGTGCCCTGCTAAGCACCCAAAACAAGACCAGCAGTTGTTGCGCTGACTCGTTTCGAACTTCCGAACCTAGGAGGGCGACTGGCAAACCAATACAGTCCCAAGCACCAGCCTACGCCCGTACGGTGTATGTACGGCCGAATTCGATGGTTCGGCGAGCAGGCTTGGTGACGGTTTGACGGTCGGATGAGTCCAAGTTGGGGGAGAAGAGGGGGTGGTTTGGCTCGGCAAGGTCGGTTCGTCAGATCCATGGCACGTGCCACGCCGATTTGCCTAAGGCTGGGCATTTGCGCGGAGCCGAGGAGACAGTTGCTCTTCAACTCAAGGTTGCAGCGGGCCATCCATCACCGTCATCGTGATTGATTCAACTGGCAGCGGAAGGCCCGCTTCAAGTGCCCCGACTCCCGAGTTCCAACCGAAGATCCCCTCCAGGTTTCTTGGGTGCATCAGGTCAGACCAGCGAAAACCGCTGACGGCCGAGTCGGGTCGAGTCAGCGGTTGCTTGCTTGCTGTTGCTGTGGTCGAATACTGTAGTGGCTCTCGACCGTGTATACAGACCAAATATTCAGGTCAGGAGCGTAGGTTTGGTCAGTTGCAAGGCAGCACCCCACCCGCGCCAGCCGATCACACACCGAATGTTCTGTATTTCAAGTTCCAAGTGACGTTTTCAGTCGGCAGATGTTGCGTTTCCAGGCACACAGAGACGAACTGAAATGTAATGTTTCACCAATGGTTCAAATCGGTGATTCGAATCACAGGGACGATGGATGTCTGGCTCGGGAATCGGGTTCGGTTTTGACCAGCGAGGACTGTTCGTTGACTCGGAGAATGCACAAGGCTTCGGTGGCTTTCGCTCCAACTGCTTCCTCCAGCTTGATCATATCAACAGATCAGACAAAATCTGCCAGCATGAATTTGCAGAAACGAGGAAATGGACCGTTGTAAAACCGCAGAACGGGCGGGCATTACCAAGAGCCGTTGCGGAAAGCTGGCTTTCCTCATATGCCGTTTTTTGCGCTGTACAGTACCAGTCTTCTGCTCACATGTGTAAGAAATTGGGAGAAGCTATTAGAGAGTATGGCAGCCGTGCGTGGTGTGGCCCAAGTTGGATACACGGGGTATGCTCTATGCTCCAAATCCGCGACTCGCAAATATGGACTAAGACGAATAAGAGCGGTTCACTACAGACAAAATGGATTATCGAATAGCATGTACAGTTTTAGGTGGGGTGGCGTAGGCCGTTTAACTCGTTCTGTTCACGATGGGTGCCTTGGCGTATTGGCCAAGTTACCAGCGACTTCGCCACGTGTCATGCGAGGGCTCATGTGGCTTCTTAAAAAACGTTCAGCACATTTGTCGTCTGGTCAGAATTACCGCGGAAAATAGAAGTAACACCTCGTTCTCGACCTTTCGCAAGCAGCGCAGGCTCTAAACGCGCAAATCATATAATTTGAAAAACCTTTTTCGTGGTCTCACGAAAAGGGCTTAACGTAACGAAATTATGACGACTCGCCTGAGCGATTTCGTTAACCAATCACACACTTTCACGATGGTTAAAAAAACCATTGAAGAAAAACATTTTCGAAATGTGCATTGGTTAATGGTGATCGAGGGACCGTGGGTCGTGTTTTCGTATTCGGGACGGAGCTGTTCGTGTCACGCGGAAAGCCTGAATATTTACGTCATTGGTTATAGAATATGGAAAATGCCTCGCATGTTCTTGATACGAGGATTAGAATAGGACCGAAATAATAAGACATAATGGATGAAAAGGGGGTACGGATTCATGCCCAGGTCAGCGCGAATACAAAAGTGCCAGGTGGACGGGGGTACCAACTGGCTGTCGCCCCCCGGTCCTTCGTGATTACGTCTGATCGCCCTGGCAAGCGCGTATTGGCCGGGCAATTCCAAGCACAGTTCACGAGAAATTTCCGAGCTCGCACTCGCGGGTTGGTTGACGACACTCGCATGCTGGGATCGCACCCAATTCGGGTGGCGCGTCTTGATGGTCGGTGGCATTATGCGACTGTCGCCTTTTTTAGCGAAGTCATCAGTAGATGTATACCGTACAGACGGAGTACATCGTGACCGATCTTATAGAATTTCGGACCTTGGAGTATTACATGGAGTAAAATTTCGTGGACCTAATGGCATACCCGCTGTATGTGAAAAGCTATCAGTCTGGAGCCTACTGTATCGCACAAAGCCCCGGTTTTACTGTGCCAGACCGAGCTGTAACGGAAACCAATAACGAGATTTTTTGCGCTTGGGACACGCATGCTGAGGTTTCCTTCTGCTGACATGGATGCTAACAGCACTTCTTCCTGGTCAGCGCCATGCTATTCTGCATCCGCAATGCGTAAGGGTTGCGTGGCAGGAATCACCTCACGCAGCCAGGTGTTGGTGTCTGTGCTCACGTGTATGATGTCATGCCCTTCACGTTGACATTTCTGATTTTAGCTGGCACCTCACCACACCATTTGGTCAGGCCAGGGCTACGGGGAAACATTCCACACAACCAAGAATACTGTCTAGTCAGTTGCTTCGGAAGCGCACTGAGTCGGTTTTAAAGAATTTAGAACTGGGCGTAAATACTTCAGCTACACGTTTCGTCGATGCTCTTGGTTAGATTGTCCAGACACCATTTTACGATTTCAGGTGGACTTGCCTCGCGCGCCGTTCCTCGACGTGGTTTGTTTCGAGCACCAAGTTTCCAGTCAAAGGTACGACCTTCGTCACTCCTCCATCGCCATAGTTAGCCGATTCTTTGCGCCTCACATGCATTCATTATCTGTACGGAGTTTTTCAGAGACCCCACATCTCGCGGCGTCAACCTGTGACAGAGTTTCTTAGTAGTTGAGAATCCTTATTGCTCACCCTGAATCCACGACTCAACAGTCTGACACCATGGAGAAAGCAAAGGTCACCGCTCAATCACAGCAGCAGCATCATCCGCATCAGTGCACCTGCGCCGTCCACGCACCTAGTCTCTCGTCCAATCCAGCGTCACTTTCCGGCTACGGCGTGTCTCCAGGCGAGGCTGCTAGCGTGAGCGTGGATTCGTGCAAGTGCCGGGATATTCCGGCTTGTGTGGTCTGCTCCCCGGCAGAACGGAGTGCGGGAAAAGAATGTGCAGAGCCTGTCTTTGGTACCGAGTCGTGTTGTGAAGATGATGGGTCCAAGGCTGTCTGAGGACTTATAAGTGTACAGTGGGGTGAGGATGATACGCTTAGCATGCGTTAGGCTATAGTTTGAGGCTAGCTGTACATGTGACAGGATGCTGCTCTGGAGGGTTGGGAATCAGAGCCTGGCTTGGGCTTATTCCATGTCCATACGGTATCCCAAGTTCTCTGAGTCAGCTGATATGTGTAGGACTACGGCAAAAACTGGTTGGTTGCTTAATGCACCTCATATATTGAGCTACCAGTGTTGAAACAGTCCATTGAGATGGCCACAGTGTCAAACATATCTAAGTATGTTAGTGTAGACAAAATTGGTTTGCGCTGTAGAGGGTACAACACTCTAGGCTATATATCCCTGTACTCTCTCTTTCTAGTTATTTTTATTCAGTTGTAAGTTGGTATCAGCCGTAGGTAGGTCCCGCTGCCCGCCCACACTTCCGCACTCGGTCCTAGCCGCCCATTCCCCTAGGCGCGCCCGTTCCCCCCGGCCCCTAGCGCCCGTCCTAGCCGGCCCCCCGCGCCCGCCCTAGCCGGCCACTCGCGCCCGTCCTAGCTTGCCCCCGCGCCCGTCCTAGCCGCCCCCCCCCTCGCGCCAAACCTAGCCGGCCCACGCGCCCGTCCTAGCCGGCCCTCGCGCCTGTCCTGCCGGCCCCTCGAGCCCGACCTAGCCGGCCCCCGCGCCCGCCCTAGCCGGCCCCTCGCGCCCGTCCTAGCCGGCCCTCGCGCCCACTCTAGCCGGCCCACGCGCCCGTCCTAGCTGGCCCCTCGCGCCCGTCCAAGCCGGCCCTCGCGCCCGTCCTGCCGGCCCCTCGCGCTCGACCTAGCCGGCCCCTCCCGCGCCCGTCCTAGCCGGCCCCTTCGTGCCCGTCCTGCCGGCCCCTAGCGCCCGTCCTACTCGGCCCTCGCGCCCGTCCTGCCAGCCTCCTAGCGCCCGTTCCTAGCCGGCCCGCGCGTTCGCCCCAGCCGGCCCCTAGCGCTCGTTCCAGCTGGCCCCCGCGCCCGTTTTCGCCGGCCCCCAGCGCTGTCCTAGCCGGCCCCTCGCCCCCTAACGCCCGTTCCAGCCGGCCCTCGCACCCGCTCTCGTCGGCCCTGCGCCCGTTCCTCGTCAGCTGGCCCGCCGCCGGCCTTCAGCACCGCACAGCACCGCCCTGTGCCGCACTGTACCGCTCAGCACCGCACTTCACCGCTCTGCACCGCACAACACCGCACTGCACTGCACTGTACTGCTCTGCACCGCACAGCACCGCACTGCACCGCTCTGCACCGTACAGCACCGCACTGCACCTGCACAGCACTGCACCGCTGCTGCATCGCTCCTGATGGCGGACTCCGTGCTCTGCTTCGACGCAGAGGGTCAGCCGCTCGAGTTTGACACGTGGCTGGTCGACCTCCGCCGTTACCTCACTGACCAACGGCAAGACGGCCACTCCCTGGCGGTCCACCTTGACGGTACGCTCCCCTGCCCTGACCCCCCTGCTCCCCTGCCTGCTGACCCCTCGTCCGCTGATCGTGAGTCCGCCGCAGCTGCTGCCCTTGCCCGCTCTGTCTGGCTGTCGCGTGACGCCGTCGCGCAGCTTGCGATCAGTCATGCCCTCCCCCTGTCTGAGCGCCTCCGCTTTAGGTCAGTCATGACTGCGCAGGAATTCCTTGATGCTGTTGGAAATATCTCAAGGACTTAAGCGTTTCTGAAGTGTAACACTGTACTCGAGGAAGACTACAGGGGAGCACGCGAGTCAACGGAGGTTACACGAGGGGGCGGACAAAGAATGCGAAAGGACTCGAAAGGTCGCAACTGGAGGTTGCGACTGACCGTTACAACATCACGGATGGTAACCGAAGCGGCAATCGAGTCGCTGTGCGACTCGATAAACCGTTCCTGTAACTGTATTCTACAACTGCTTTCTTATCTACTATATATTGCTGTATGCTTGTTACTTTAATCAATCACTTGTTCTCACATACTAGTACAAGGGTTCAACTGCCTCAACTTCCGCTGCACTACTCCAAGTCTCAAACAGCTGGGACTTAGTCTCTGCAAAAGATCCTAAGGGCTTTTTCAGCCCAACATGGTATGAGAGCTGGTCAGAGATCAAAACTCCCAGCAACTACACTCCATCAACAACCAGCAACTCAACTTGATTCAACAACTCCATTGATTACAAGACATGGACAGCAAGGGCAAGAAAGTCTCTACGGGCTCACCCAGCGGCCAAGAAACTCAACACGGCAACTCTGGTCTGCACACCTCAGGATTGCAGACAGAGACCGGGACTGCTCAAGAAACAACGGGAAGAGTACCAGAGATGGTGACCCCGTCTCCCTCTTCAAGTGTGGACCCGAATCTCATGGAGAGATTCTTCAGCTTCATGTCACACTTCGATCAGCAGCAGCAGACAAGGACACCTGCGCACTCAACACAGAGCAATGGAGGGAATATGGGATTAGCGCCGATGAGCCTCGACAACTCATCCTTCGGGCGACACAATCAAGCGCCTACCTTTGCGCCTTATCATTCTTCGCCGGGGACGTTCGAATTCATGCCGCCCCGTGCCCAGCCAACAGCAGCTGCTTCACAACAAACACCGAATGAAATCTTAAGTTTACAGGCGCAGTTCTCACACGTGATCAAACTTCAGACATCCTCACCGTTCAACGGACACGACTTCTTTACCTGGAGCTTCGAGTTCGAGCTGCTGATGGAGGCCGCGCATCTTCTGGGATACTTCAACGGGTCCCTGCCATTCCCAAGCAACGGCACTGGGAAGGAACAAGAGATCTTCACGTATCAGTCGCTGCTGGCGTACACGGTACTCCTGAGAAACCTGTCACCACAAGAGCAGCAGAGCATCAGAACGTATCGGAGTTATGGAAACTCCGCGGAGCTCGCATGGCACCACCTCAAATGCCTTTACCAAGCAAACGACAGCGTGACACAAAGCAGACTCATGCAACAGCTGACAACAATACAGATGAAGACCGGGGAAAAGGCGATGCAGTATATGAGTCGCTGCCAGACCCTCCGCGACCGCCTGCTTCGGTGCGGAGGAACGATCACTGAAGAAAGCTTCGTGACACTTGTCCTCGCCGGGCTCGGGCCAGAATGGAGAACCACACGATCACTTCTTCGAGCCCACGGAAGAATTTCGGAGATGCACCTCTGCGCCGAGCTTCACGCTGAACAACAGGAGATGGATCTGTTCGAGGAAAGACAACCAAGGAAGCAACAGCAGTTAGTCTTCTACACTCAAAGAAGAAATGACAACAACTACAACCGACGCAGCAAGCAAGATCAACGTGACAACCGAGGACTCACCATCGTGCCGCCGTTCTGCCACAACTGTCAGACTTCCGGGCACTCCAAGGTCAACTGCAACCGCCCTCGCGTTTACCGTGCAGCAGACCCACAAGTCGCTTCCACTCAAGCAAGTCCTCCAAGGCGCTCTTCAACATCTGCACAACAAACACCCAACATCATCAACTGCATGGTACACATCGACAACTGCGCACCCGCTTCACCACCCACTTACGCACCAGACGAAGAGGAATTCCCGCCGCCGCGCTCGCAAGGACTTCAGGTCAACCCGACATACGCTGCAGTCGCTAACGCCGAACCCACCGGGCGGAACACCTGGTTCTTGGACAGTTGCTGCGGTCAGCACATGTGCTCCTCCGGACGCTTCGTACAACACGAGCGACGCCTCAACCGTGACGTCGTCATCACCGTCGCCAACAACGAAAACCTGAAAACAAATAGACAAGGCGTGGTTCAGTTACAATCAATGGAGACAAACGTTATTCTTCAGCTCAACAAGGTCCTCATCGTCGACAATCTGGGATACAACCTATTAAGCGTAAGCCAACTAATGGCTAAGGGGATTCACCTGGAGTGCGACTCCTTCTCCAACGAGTTCCGACTTTACCACGGGAAGGGCGGTCTCTTCATCGGTCGTGCCCTCCTGAAGTCCGGTGTCTTCGTGTTGGACTTCGTCCCCGACCGCGGAACTGCCGACAGCGACGGTATCGTATCCTTCGCCGCCTGGACTCATCCGCCAGATCTTGATCCCGACTTCGACAGCGACGGCTTCTGGCACTCCAACACCATACCTGCAGCAGAAAGAACACGAGCATTAGCAGTTATCAGACAAGAAAGACAAGTACCCGCATGTGTCCCAACAAAACCATCACCTGCAGTATCGGCAGCAGGACCCAGCCGAGTACCACCACCAGCGACACGAGGACAGCCAACCGAAGCAGACCAACTTATGCCCGCCACACGAGAAGCTTGTCGAAGTCCCGCCTCGGTCGTCGCGTTCTTCTCCAACGCCGACATCTACCACCGCTCGCCCGGTCACCGCGCTCCCGACGACATCTGGCACCAACGTCTCGGACATCCTGCAAACAGCACGATACTTCAAACAATCCAAGCAGAAGTGTTAGAACGCAACGCCCTTCTGACGACGAGCGGCCAGGAACTCCGACGACCACGCGCACGGTGTTTCACATGCCCCGAAGCAGATCTTCCTCATCAACCTTTCCCAGCCCATCACAATCCAAGCGCACCCACTTACGCTCCGATGGAAAAGGTCTACAGCGATATTCTAAACATGCCTCGAGACGACACCGAAGCCGACTTCAACTACGTCATCACGTTCATCGACGCCGCAACCAGATACGTCTGGCACTTCAATCTCAAAACGCGCGATCAAGCCTTCGAGGCATTCACCACATGGCTTCCAATCGCCGAACGAGAGTCAGGAACCAAACTCAAGAGTTTCCAGTCAGACGGTGCACTGGAATACCAGTCACAACGCTTCAGGACCTATCTCGCGGAAAGGGGAATCCGACGCCTGGTGTCTCTGCCCTATGCTCACCAGCAGCAGGGGGTAGCAGAACGCATGAACCGGACCTTGCAGACGACGATGCGAAAACTGCTTCTGGGGATGAGGCTGCCCAACGCACTGTGGCCAGACGCGATGACACATGCAGTCCACCTGCACAACCTGTTGTCCTCGTCATCGCTCCCCAACAACGCATCACCACACCTGCTGTGGACGGGAAAAAGGGGCAGCACAAAATTACTTCGAGTTTTCGGCTGCATGGTACAATACAGACCCCACACAGCTCGAGCAGGACGCTTCACTCAACGAGCTCGGTGGGGACTACACCTCGGCATCGCCAAACATTTTCACGCGTGGAAGATCCTCGACATACAAGACAAAAATACGGTGGCATCACGTGATGTTATCTTCTACGAGCGACTGACGCTGCAGCATTACCTGGACAACATTGCCAACT